GGGCAGTGTGTGTGGTGCGTGTGTGTGTGTGTGGTGGTGTGGGGCAGGGTGGTGTGGGTGTGGGGGGGGTGCAGTGTGTGTGGTTGTGGTGGGGGTGCAGTGTGTGTGTGGTGTGTGGGGGGTGCAGTGTGTGTGGTGTGGGGGGGGTGCAGTGTGTGTGTGGTGGGGGTGCAGTGTGTGTGTGTGGTGTGGTGGGTGCATGTGGTGTGTGTGTGTGGTGGGGTGCAGTGTGTGTGGTGTTGTGGTGGTGGGTGCAGTGTGGTGTGGGTGTGTGGTGGGGTGCAGTGTGTGTGGTGTGTGGTGGGGGTGCACGTGTGTGTGTGGGGTGTGTGGTGGGGGTGCAGTGTGTGTGTGTGTGGTGGGGTGCAGTGTGTGTGTGTGGGGGGGTGCAGTGTGTGTGTGGTGGGGGTGCAGTGTGTGTGTGTGTGTGGTGGGGTGCAGTGTGTGTGGGTGTGTGGTGGGGGTGCAGTGTGTGTGTGTGTGTGTGGTGGGGGTGCAGGTGTGTGGGTGTGTGGTGGGGGTGCAGTGTGGTGTGGTGTGTGGTGGGTGCAGTGTGTGTGTGTGTGTGTGGGGTGCAGTGTGTGTTGTGTGTGTGGTGGGGGGTGCAGTGATGTGTGTGTTGTGTGGTGGGGGTGCAGTGGGTGTGTGGGGGGGTGCAGTGTGTGTGTGGTGTGTGGTGGGGGTGCAGTGTGTGTGGGTGTGTGGTGGGGGTGCAGTGTGTGTGTGGTGGGGGAGGGGCAGTGTACATGTGTGTGGGTGGGGGGGTGCAGTTGGTGGTGTGTGTGGGGGGGGGGATGTGGGGGAAGACAATGACCCTGGACCGGGCAGGTGCTGAGGCCCTCAGGCCGCGCGCTGAGAGTGGAGCCGGGGGTGCGGCTGTGGGGGGCCGGGGTGCGGCTGTGGGGGGGGGACCCCGGGGCTGGAGCTCTGCCCCCCCCCCTCCCCCGCAACACATACCGCCGCTGTTAAAGGCTATTCAGGTGCAGCTCCGGCGCCCCCTCAGCCCCGGACTCCGCCCACCGACGTTACTGTGCGGCCTCGCGTCACCGCCGACGTCACCGCGTTATCTGGACGCGTCTCCACAGCGTCTCTCTCTGCCTCGAATTCTCATTCACAAAAACAAAGAGCTTCTGATCCAAACGTAAAGCGCCTCCACACCTCCACCTCCATCACACCCACACCCCCCACACACCCACACCCCCCAACCTCCACACCCACACCACCCACACCTCCACACCCACACCACCCACACCTCCACACCCACACCACCCACACACACCCACACCCCCCCACAACCCCCCCCACACACCACACACCACCACCCCCCACACACACCCACCATTCCCACACAACCCCCCCCACACACACACACCCCACACCCCCCCACCCCCCCCCACACACACACACCCCCCACACACCCCACAACCCCCCCCCCACACACCCCCCACACACCCCCCCCACACACACCCCACCCCCCACACACACACACCCCACACACCCCCCCACACACCACACCCCCCACCACACACACACCCCACCCCCCCCCCCACACACACCCCACACCCCCCCCACACACACACACACACACCCCCCCCCACCCCCACACCCCCCCACACACACACCCCCCACACACCCCCCCCCCCCACACACACCCCACACCCCCCCCCACACCACCACACACACCCCCCCCACCCCCCACACCCCCCCACACACACACACCCCACACCCCACCCCCACACACACACCCCACACCCCCCCCACACACACACCACACCCACCCCCCCACACACCCCCCACCCCCCACACACCCCCCCCCCCCACACACACACACACACACACCCCCACACCCCACAACCCCCCCCCACACACACCCCCACACACACCCCACCCCCCCCACACACACCGCACACCCCCCCCCACACACACCCCCACACACCCCCCCCCCCCCCACCCCCCACAACCCCCCCCCACACACACACACACCCCCCACACACACCCCACCCCCCCACACCCCCCCCACACACACACACACCACCCCCCACACCCCCCCCACACACCACACACACCCCCCCCACACACACACACACACCCACACACACACACCACCCCCCACACACACCCCACCCCACCACACACACACCCCACCCCCCCCACACACACACCCCCACACACACCCCCACACACCCCCCCCCACCCCCCACAACCCCCCCCACACACACACACACCCCCCACACACACCCCACCCCCCCACCCACCCCCACACACACATCCCCCACACACCCACACCCCCCCCCCACACACACACACACACACACCCCCACACACACACACACCCCACACAAACACACCACACACACACCCCCCCCCACACACACACACCCCACCCCCCCTCCACACACACACACCCCACCCCCCCCACACACACACACACCACACACACCCCACACAAACACACCACACACACACCCCCACAAACACACCCACACACACCCCCCCACACAAACACACCCACACACACACACCCCCCACCCGGAGAGGTTCCAAAATGTCACAAGTTTTATCCTCTTCAAACCTCCCGTTCCTGCCAGCAACGCCTTTGACGACTCTTTTATCGCCTGTTGTGCACAAATGCTATTTTTTTTTAAAAAAGTGGCTTGTTTTTGCGTGTATTGGGCAGGGATCAAAAGCTTTCAGTTGACTTGGAGACGTTCTCCTGATGTGAAAAGCAGACTATATAATAATAATTCCGGCACTTGACATTGCGCCTTATAATGTCGTTGAGACGCCTCAAAGTGCTTCACAGAATATACTGTTAATATATATCAAATGCAAGGATTATTATACTGTGAAGTGAATTGGCTGTATTTTGTAGGTGAAATATAAATGTAAATTGCTACTGTTGAAGAAGGTTACCACAACAATAATAATAATAATAAACCTTGCATTGTATCTGTATTGTCTGTGTAACATTAATGTGGGGAACTCAGGCAGTTCCTCTGATCTTGTATTGTTTAACTTAATAGATAACTTTAACAACCACGAGCGTTTGTCATTTGGAAAGTTGTGTTGATTTAGAGTTGTTTTCTTCTACCCATGAAAAAGGTGATATATTTTTTTTAAAAATCAGCCCAGTCAGATTTTTAGGATTTTGTTAGAGCACTTTATTTTAGGCTTTAAAAAGATCATTAACCCCGCTATAATAATAATAATAATAATAATAATAATTCTTGTGTTTAATATAGTGCTTTATCATGTCTTTCAAGACATCTCAAAGCACTTCACAGAATATACTGTAAATGATATACAATCACCTGCAGTCCTTATCAGATAAACTACTTTCTATTTTATATTTTTNGTCCTCTAGTTTTGGACTCACCGACAATTGTAAACAGCCAATCAACATCCACCTTATTAAATCATTCTATCTAGCCAAACCTTTTAATCCTATTTACAGATCAAATATATTATTTGTTATATAATAAGAATAATCATTGCATCTGATATTGCACCTTATCATGTCGTTGAGATGTCCCAAAACGCTTTGCAGAATATACTGTAAAGTGCATTGACTCTGTATTTTGTGGGCAAAAAGGTTTAAGTTACAGGAAAGAAAAGGTAATTGTCTAAATATAATTAGCAGTTTATACTGTATTTGCACCTAGAAATTGATTAATATTTTACTGTGAACACTTGCTGGTGGATTCAAATATGGAAGACTGCATAGTGTACTGAATGAGAATATCCTGGTCCGAGTGTGTGGTGGTTGCTGATACTTTGGTTAATGCTTTGCTGAGCTAAAGTAACTTTGTGGAATACTGTAGTATGAAAAATCTACCTTTAAGAAAAATTAAGTAAGTTTGACATGTGGGGTTGGCTCTGAACTTTTCTCTTTACTCAGGTCAGACTGACATGGAATACAATGCAAAACTGGCACGATTTCGAGAAGGCCATCTCAACCCCTTCAACAATGATCCAACTGAGAGTGTGGAGGTGGAAGATACCAAAGAAGAGGATGATTGGACAGTAAAAGGTTAGTGTGTAACTGGAGATCAATTTCAAATTTGGAACCATCGGAGTAGTTTAGTTTACTGGTGAGTGAGATTGGCCAACTGCTAATTTTTATTGTGTGTGGTCTGGAGAGAAGAGAAACGAGGGACCATGAACAAAGATGCAAAAAAAAAGGGATGCAACATTGATGCAGAATATATTAGAATCAGGTATGATTGACGCGTAGGAATGAAAAATCTATTTATTTATGTTGTGCAGCCCTCTGTTTTGAGTCTTAAATGATTTTTTTTCCCCCTGATGATTTGCAAGTCAGGCTGTTTTCGTGATCTTGCTTTTAACAGAATAACTGCATTGCTGGCAGCAGAATGACTATCAAGGCGGCTGTAAATTAAACAAAAACCTTAACATTTGCGTTCTAAAAATCCAATACACATAGCATTGCAGTTGGAGGATAACTTTTGGTTTCTGACCACAAGCAAGACTGCCATTTACACTGTAATAATAATAATAATAATCCTTGCATTTGATATAGCACTTTTCACGTCAGGAGGACGTCCCAAAGCGCTTCACAGAACACACTGTAAAGTGAATTGACTGTATATTTGTGGGCGAACGCGGCAGCCAATTGCGCACAGGGATCTACAACTGAATCAGTTGTAGGGATCTACAACTGATTTTATCCTGAAACCCATCACTTTCCAAGGCAGCAAATCATCCTAGTCTGAGCTCAATAGCTTGCTTGGAACTATTGTATATTATTCATTTCTCCTTGCATTTTAGAAACTTGGATAATGTCTCCTCTCAATCGTTTCTCAAACGAAAACAAATCTAATTCTGTGAATGTGACTTCATCCTATAATAGATCTCCAAGTTCCAGATCCTTGTTCCTCTTCTCCAGTGAACTCCACACTTTGCTCCCAATGTCTTTCTCAAAGGACATGACTTTTAATTTGTTCACAAGGAAGATTCTTTACTTTGTCGCATGGATACATTTTGAAAACAAATGTGCGCGTCTGCAACAGAAAAATAGCTGCGTGTGAGACATCAGTAGGAGTCCGATTCTCTTCGGGTTTTTTTTTTTGCTTGTCCCATGATAAGAGTTCTGTGACTCAGAAGCCGTGATTGTTTTATCTCTGTCTGTTTGACTACAGATTTACATTCTTTCAAATGATTCTGGTCCAGTTGCAATATTACATTCCTCTTATCCTTAGTGTGATGTGGATCAGCAGTTTTCCATCCCATTCGGATCATTCCAAAATATTGTTGTCTTGCCAGCTTACGTGTTTAGTTCCTGGCTGGTTGTCGTCGATAGATATGATCCTCTTTACTTGTTTATTGTGTCGATCCACATTGACTGACTATTCAGACAGATTGGTGTGTTCAGTAACAATAATTGGCCTTCCATCATTGGTATTGGCTTTAGCAAGACTTTTTGACTGTAGCTTTTGGTGATATTAGTCCTGCTTTTCCACAATGTTTCCTGTCTGCCAGGATGGATTAAAGCGCGCCTTTGTGTTTTGGAATGTACTCCGTTTTTGCTGCTCGAGTACATTCAGTTTTCATTTCTCGGCCTCTCGTCACGCTTCCCTATCCGTGTGTTTGGAACGATAACTGCTGCGGTTTGAATCGTTGTTGCAGTAGATGAGCTTTCGCAGGCTTGTGTCATGATGTACTGGGGCCTTGAGCCATCCTATCTGTAGCCACTGTTTGCTTCTTTGTCTCTAGTAAATGATTTTGTTTCACAAATTAGTTGCCGCATCATTGCAGAACCCTCTGTATTTAATCCAGATCAGAGGAGGGCTAGTAGTGCAAAGGATACCATTATTAAGATGTGATTGAAGTGAAGGGGGGAGAGGGTGGAGAGTCGAAATAAACTAGAAAATAATTTTGTAAATATTCAATTGAATTATGACCAATTATATGACGCTTTACGATAAAAAGGTTGCATTGTATCAGCAGTGGTCGCCTTGCAAATGTTACACCTTTTGGCAATCGTGAGGGCAGTTCCGTGCTAGTTATCAGCAGCCAAATGACTGCTGAAGAACAATCCTAAAGTTGACGTAACTGTTCTTATGACTTGAGAAGTCAACGCTGGAAGGAAGAAGGGGGGGGAGCAACCTCAGAAACGTTATGCAATCAATACTTAATTAAAGAATCTGCTGGTCACAACACAATCCACTTCCTTAATTTTGTTTTGTCCAAGCAGCTGAATCTTTTGAGCTAAGTAGATTTAAAATAAAGGGTGCATGTCATTATACTGTATTTGATATTTTGTGTGTGTGTGTGTGTGTGTGTGCGTTCAAGCGTGTGCGTGTGTGCGTGTTTGTGAGCTTTTATTGGTATATTTCAAAACCACTCAGCGTTTTGAAGACGAGGTAGCCATTTCTGCAGTGAATATTCTGCAGTGGGATTTGTGTGTGTGTGTGTGTGTGTGTGTGTGGAAGCTGGCTAGAAAATGTTAACCTGTTGAGGACTGTAGTATATGAATCAAATTATTTTTTTCTTCTTGAAGGCTGTGCAAGTCTGTGTCTTATCGGCCTTGCAGACGTTGCTGTTAGAATTTATCCAGATCCTGTTCTGATACTATCACTGCATACTGATCAGCACGTTATATTTCCAATGATGGATATTGTTCTTCCTGTTACAGGATTGCACACAGACACCTTCTTCAGGGAGGTCGATTCCCACACAGACAGAGTGATGGACCTGGGTATGGCTGAGGACCACTTCTCAAAGCCAGTGGTGAGTATTGATTTTGATGTAAATAATACTGAGGTAATATTAGTATATGATTGAAATATGCAGAGCAATTCCCAGTAAGGTAGATAAACGAGATGCTGGCAAACTATCGATCGTAGACAAAATGGTGCTTTTAAATGAACAAAATCCTCATTGTAAGGAGGAAGCTTAATGCCCCTGTTTTATTAATTGCAGATTTCTTCAAGGTGACTGTATTGTTACTACAGTATTATTTTCATCTGCTTTTAAAGATCAGGTCTGATGAAGCCATTCAGATGTTCTAATTTGCTAATGTCTGCCCAGAATGTTGCTTTAGTTAGTCCAGAGGTGCAGTTATTTTATGTGGTATCATTTATTTGGTGAATAATACAGTATTCAGATCAGACCTGAAAGATTATATATTTATTAAAGCTCATACACATAAATGAGCAGGAATTTAGAAGGGATGTTAGAACACTGTAATAATAATCCTTGCATTTGATATAGAGCCTTATTACGTTGTTGAGACATCTCAAAGCACTTCACAGAATATATTGTAAAATGGATTGTCTGTGTATTTTGTGGGCGAAATGCAGCAGCCAATTGCCCACAGCAGTGTCCTACAAACAGTGATAGATTACGTAACCATTTTTATTTTTTGAGGGAGTATTAGCCCGATATTAACACTAGTTAAAATGTTAGGCAAAACTGTGCAAAGTGTGAACAACAGTCATTTTATACCCAGGAAAAGCTTTAGTGCAGGCTTTTGTTTCTGGAATATGGCTGGAAGCATTTACTTGGCATTTTTCCGCTGATGGCAGCCTTGATGTTGATAACAAAGCAAAGGAGATATTTATTATGTCGGAAGCACTTCAGCGAGTTTTGAACCCTGTTAGTGGAAACTGCTGTTTCCTTTGTTTTCATGCCCATTAGTTCAGCTTAATTAGGAAAACAATATTGTACTGAGAATGAAATGTTCTTTACTGGCATTGCTCACTACTGTCTCTTATAGCTCCTTGAGGAGATGGCTTTGGTCCATGATACTGGACTGACCTACTCTCTTTACTCAACACTGTATTCCTGTGATACAGTGGCAGGACAATCTCCTCCTCCCCATCTTTCCCCATTGTCACCGTAGATATAGTTAAAAATTGCACAGTCGGAGCAAATGACATGAAGCCAACTGACATGAAAGGTGCTACATCAAATGCAATTATTATGAACCTATACAATAACAACAACAACTTGCAGTTATATAGCACCCTTCACACCGGACGGTTCATTCAAGCTTGTGTGTGAACACATGTTTGGATGTGGATCTAGTGTTGTGGAAGCTTACCAGTACTACAACAGCAGCAAATTACATTTGTATAGCGCCTTTCACATCAGGAGGACGTCCCAAGGCACTGTACATGGTTCAGTGAGCTGCAGACAGCATCAGGGGAACTGCATCTTGAGACAATCTCAATCTCCAAATGCTTGTTGCTTGTGTCCTCATGGGTAATCATCGTCTTTCCTCTTCTGCAGGGATCTTTTGGTGTCTTGGACATCGAAAATTTGAAGCGTGCGATCGAGGAGGTGAAGCAGGTTATATTAGATTTGCCAGAGCAATCCGAGAAGCAGAAAGATGCCGTTGTTAAACTTATACATCTTCGCCTTAAACTACAGGAACTGAAGGTTTGGAAAAACGTTGCCTTTTTTTTGAAGATAAAATTTTAAAGGGGCGGTTAAAAAAATAGCATAGAGGAGATCATCGAAAAGGAAGAAATTGTGGTCAAGATTCGCTGCACTTTTACTGAGTAGAGAATCCATACCTGAGATGTTCACACTAATGTCTAAACTGCCATTGTAAAGAATGGGTATTTGGATAGGGCAAGCAGGGTGGAGTTGCCCTTGGAACCATACCACAAGGAGGGACGGAGTGCAATCAGGTGATACGAAAGGGAGAAGATTGGTATAAGCCCTTCTTTCTCCTCCCTCCCTCTTGTCCAGATCAATTTGACTGTTGTATTGTGAACATTAATTCCAGTTTTCCAATCTTTTGTTAACCTGACTACTTGGCTCCACCATTGGCAGGTGAACTTTTATTTCTTGCCCATCCACCTCTCTCCCCCTTTTCCTCCACTTTCAAAACTCATCTGAAGACTTCTCTCTTTGACTGCGTCTTTGACCACTTACCTCCCTCCCAGCTCGAGCTTCTGCTCTGACTCTGAATTGTTGTTGTAGATGATCGTTATCTCATGATTGGTTTTCTGTTTAGGACCCTGATGAAGATGAGCCAAATATTCAAATCTTACTTGAACATCGATTCTACAAGGAAAAAAGCAAGAGTGTCAAACAGTTCTGTGACAAGTGTAGCACCATCATTTGGGGCTTACTTCAAACCTGGTATACCTGCACAGGTGAATGCCTTGCATTTGTCTGGAACACCTAGAGAATTATGAAATACATTTCTTAATTGGCAGCATCGGGAGGAAACACATTTATTCCCATGATCCTGCAGATTGCCATGTTTAACTCAATTCATTTCTTGCCTTTTGTAGGCTGTTACTACCGCTGCCACAGCAAATGTTTGAACCAAATTGCCAAACCTTGTGTGAGATCTAAGGTTAGCCACCAATCTGAGTTTGAACTTAACATTTGTCCAGAAGTGGGACTGGACAGACAGGATTACAGATGTGCAGAATGTCGGCAACCAATTTCCCTCCGTAAGTACATCAGCCCTACACTATGTTCTATCTGCATTGCATTTATGTTTCTGTACCCACCCTTTGGAATTCTATCCCACAGTGCCTTCGCCTTGCCTCCTTCAAGACCTGTGTCAAGACCCTCCATGGCGTTGGTCACCCTCCCACCATGGGGGATTTGGAATGGATGTTTTAATTTTGTAGAGCACTGAGTATTAGTTTAGAGATAATCTGACCAGATTGTTGTGGTTTTCTCCTGTGAATTGTTTTCCTCAGGTTTGTTATGATTGCGACAAGATACTCTTGGCTTTAATTTACCTGGGAGATTTATTTGAACTAGTGTAATACTTTAATAAATTATCAATTGAACTGGATGGGGTCTTTCCTTTGATTTTATAAATAGAAACAATGCAAAGAGTGTCAAGCTAATCCACCAACTCCTTTTCACCACGGGGTCCCTTACGTATCAGTGCTAATTAGCAGGACAGCTATTCACAAGTAGTCTTTTGTGTTTTCAGGTCTGATGAGTCTCTTAAGTACTTTGGGTAAGCTGCTGTGAGCTGTTGGCTTGGGTCTGTCTCAGTTGCAGGTCTTGTTTTCTTGTAATGTGATTCCTGTTCAAAGGAACTTTGTCACAAAATATCCCACAACAGTCCGACTCAGAGGTGAGAGTTCAACCAACTGAGTCAGGCTGATAAAACACTGCATTTTAATATATATATAGAGAGAATTATAAAAATATATTTCTACTAATTAGATCTGTACTATCTCTGTTGTGATTAAAGGAACACGCTGCATTAATGAAAAGATCGCCCCCTAGTCGCCAGATGAAAGATCAGCTATTCTGGGGTCCAGCAGTGATGTATATCGCTGAAATGGTCAGAAGCGCCTCATTAAGTGTCTCTACGGCAGACTGCTCATAAGATTGTCATTTTGAACATTCCCGACATCCCCTGTGCGTAGTTGGCTTGCAAGATGCTTTCGAACTCTTCCTTTCACTAGGATTGACAACAACTTGTGTTTATATCGACTCTGCTTGTATTCTGAGTTTCATTTCCGTTGCTGAAATGATCAAAAGGAACAAAAAAAAGTCTTCCTTGACCTTCGGGCTCATTTCAACTCTTTTTTTTCTCTCCTTTCTCTCTCCCACCCCCATTGCTTATGATCTGCATCTCTAACTCACTCGTGTTTACTTTACATCTTTTTCTTTAGGCGCTGTGCCCAGTGAAGCTCGGAAGTGTGACTACACAGGACAATATTACTGCAGTAACTGCCACTGGAATGATGTGGCAGTCATACCTGCACGTGTCATCCACAACTGGGACTTTGAAGCATGTAAAGTAAGTAAGTGGGCGCCAAGGGTCCGAATCAGACTGTGCTCACTGTTGCGTTTAGACTGTAAACATCACAGTGAGAGAGAAAAAAATGTATAATTTGGTCACTCAATCCACGACTGTTTGTGGGACACTGCCGTGTGCAGTCGCCTGCCATGTTTTTGCCCACAAAATATACGGTTTATTCGTTCACAGTATATTCTATGAAACGCTTTGAGAAATCTCAGAAGACGTGATGAGGCGTTAAAACAAATTCAAGGATTGTTATTATTATGTATTATAGACAATATCGGTGCAGAGGAGAGCTATAGACTAACATAAAGAAACTTCGAAACGTTTTAGTTTAAGGAAAAGTTAACTGAAACACAATGGCTATATATAAAAAAAGGTAAGTCGGTTTAAATGCATCAACGCAGCAATTTCTAGTTGGAGTCAATGCGATTCTATCTGCCACACGTGGCTGATTTCATAGCAGGAGAGAATGGATATATTTATAATTGTGAGACTGCTAGAAATTCAGTAGAGGTGAGAACTCAAGAACATTTTTAGCCACCGTTGTTTGGAAGGCCTATACCCGATTTATCTTTCTGTGCTGTTTCCCTTCTCTAGGTGTGTCGTTACAGTATGAGGTACCTGACACTAATGATGTCTCGGCCAGTACTAAAACTTAAAGAAATTAATCCGTTTCTCTTCAACTATGTGGAAGAGCTGGTCGAAATTCGGGTAAGTCTAGATGCAATGTGCTCTTTTGATTGTAACATGCATCATAAGTGAACTTGCTCTCTATCTGCTAAACTCGATAAGAATTGGTCCGGAAGTACGGAGTAAAAGGCAAAGTACACTCCTGCTCACTGTTAGTTTATGGAAACCTGATTCAGATACTTTTAACATTGTAGACAGTTAATAGTAGACTGGGTTTGAAAAGATAATGTAGATGGATCAATCAGATGTTCCATTTAATTTTAATAAAAGTGCAATATGGTGCAGATCTGAATAAACAGACATTTTAACATGTGAGTAAATTTCCCAAACTACTTGCACTCTTGATCCACATTTTACTAAGTCTTACCAAAGGATTTTTTAAAAATTAAATTTTGTTTAAAACTCTTAAAGCTCTCTGCTCTGAACTTGAAGGTATGAAACAGTTATTTCTTTTTTTTTCAATTGTATATTATATCCACAGAAGCTTCGACAAGATATTTTGTTAATGAAACCATATTTCATCACATGCAAAGAGGCCATGGAAGCCAGACTGCTGCTTCAGGTCAGTTACAAATTCAAGTGGATCCTCAGATGTGTATCTGTTAGTATATGGGAGGAATGGAGGGGAGTGGAAGCACAACATGACTTATAGTTATAACTGTTATCAATGTCTCCAATGAACCAGTTGAATGTTTTGTAATTGCAGTTGCAGGATCGACAGCACTTTGTGGAGAATGACGAAATGTACTCCTTACAGGACTTGATTGACATTGCCACGGGCCGACTGAGTTGTGCTTTAACTGAGATCCACACCACCTTTGCAAAGCACATCAAACTGGACTGTGAGGTAAAGGCAGACTTTGGTTACTGGGGATGAACAAAGAAAATATTGGTTCTCAAAATGGAAATGGTATTGGGTCACAGGGAGCAACATTTCAGTAAGCTTTCCTACTAAATTGTATTTAGTAATGCTCCATTTGATGTGGCAATAGGGAAAATGTGTTTGCTCTCCAATAAAATGCATAGTTAAAAATTCAATTTATAGTAAATTATTTAATCACACAGTATACAATTCCAGTCATTCCAGTCCTCTTCCGCCCCACCTTCAAAGCCTGCTTTAAGACCTATCTTTTTCACCTTTCTTCCACACACACACCAGCTCCCCCCCTTAAAACATGTTTAGAGTTTAGCTATAAACTATATATTATTATATGTAATATATAATATACTATTCATATATATATATGAATTAATCTCTGGCTTTGTGTGCTCTTTTGTAGAGATGTCAAGCTAAAGGTTTTGTCTGTGAGCTGTGCAAAGAGGGAGATGTGCTCTTTCCGTTTGACAGCCACACTTCAGTGTGTCAAGATTGTTCAGCTGTATTCCACAGGTTGGTGCAAACAACTGAAGGTAACATTAAAATTAATCTCTGGCAGATTCCCATTTATGCCCCAGCTGCTGATTCCAGACCATTCTGAATTTACAGCCTAACCCACGGTAATTGAGTTCAAACGGTACCAAACTAAGCTTCCTTATGCAGTTTTCACATCAGATGTAAACTGAAGGGCAATTTCCTTCAAACCACAAAAGGAGGAAGACCAACATATGTCGTGAGCTGATGACTCAATACGTCAGCCTGTAGACTGATTGAGGGTAAACGGAACATATTTGGTTTTGGAATACGGTGATGTGGCCTGAATGCTACAGAGTTGAGGTAAATGTAGCATTTTTGAGTTTCTTTCCCAAAGTCACAGATGAAAGTCAAAAATAATCCTTAAAATGTTGTCAAGAATCCAACATTATCAGCAGCAGCACTCTGATGGCGACTTTATTTTATTATCCATCTCCTCTTCCTCGTGTTCCGTTTTCCCAACTGGATTTAAAGGAAAAGCTTAAACTGAACAGGAAATACAATTCAGGACACACTGTGGGGAGTTGCCAATGTTGCCAACTATCTAATTACGCCTTCAAAAGGCATGGCAAAAGTGAGTTCTCTTGAGGAATGGAGTAACATCAATGACTTCGCTCTTAAAGAGCTGTAGACGATGTTGATTTACGAGAGATCCCGTTTTATGTGTAGGCTTTCCTGGGAGTGTCATCCACCTGGTCAATACAGCACAGCAATGCTGATCAATTCCCTATCTGTTTATTTTCAGGGACTGTTACTACGATAATTCCACCACATGTCCCAGGTGTCCACGACTATCGATGCGAAAACAATCCCAATCAGCACCTGCCAACCCAGACTAAAACGGGACAAGAGAGGAACGTCAAAGCGAAATACTATGAACTTTGTGGCAGCACTTATGCTCTCGACTTCTGCCAATTGAACTGAACCAATGCGTTTGACAAAATGACATGGAAAGAATGAAGTTAACAAACCCCCCAACCACATAACACACACCCCTGCCACCCCCCCAAAACTACCACCGAAACAACCCAATGTATTATTGAGACCTGGACGCAAGTGAAAATGAAAACTTAAACTCATGAACATTCTTACGTGAGAGTATGAACCTAACTAGTGAAAGGCTAAGAAAGCAAGCGTTATCCCAGGTGTACCCACGACAGCTGCAGAAACTGAAATAAGTGCAAATCTAATGCACCTCTCTGGCTCTTTCCACCAGTGTGGTTAACATTGTAAAGTGTACTTTCTCTTGTCTTATGTAGATAATGTTTCTTCTGAGCGCTTTTCTATTTAAAATGACTTTCAGTTTTATTGCCATCAAATTCTACATTTCTCTGAATGCAAGACACGTCTGCAGAACGCCTGTGTGTTTTAAAATGGACTGTGAGATCTGTGGGATCTGTGAAGTTTTAGCAAAACTGATATAATTTATAGTATGAGGATTGTAAATCTCAGTACAAGGGAACCAAAAATTAGTATAATGGCCAAGAATGAATGTTTAAAATTCAGCTTCAGATCAGCCAAAATTGCTCCCAAAGTGATTTATCATTTTGCATGTTTTCATTCAGTAAATCATTCAGATACAGTACTTGGGGGAAAAACACAACCAGCCAAAGGTGACTGAGCTTATTGCCATTTTTAAAAAATGTCCCTTTGCCCAGCTCAACTATTCCCATTATCCAGTATCACAAAATAAATCAGTTATTTCCATAAAATAATTGGTGAAATAGCTACCAGTCATTGGTTCACCAATGACTACTGGTATTTAAAAGTTTGACAATCTGACAATACAGGGAATAAGTTCGTAGCATTATGAAACCTACTAGGTCTGGACGCTTGCTGTTCATTTCATTCCAAAAAATGCCGACCTGTTTAAGCCTGAAGGATTCAGTCTTGCTTCTATTCCTTTTACTATTTGCCTGAATGTTGTCTGAATTATGTTTGAATATCATCACACTGGGGTGGGGAAATGATTAAATGATAGAATTATTGGACTTTATACAACAAAACTCAAAAGCAGTATTTGATCCTGTATTGTTTACAAGCCACAAAACAAAAGCTGTAACGGTTAAAATGCTCTGCAGTCCATTCTGATCATAATCGGATCAGATGCTCATTGTTTTTTTTCTATCTGAACTGTCTTTGGCGTTAAATTTTAAGTCACACTTCTTGAAATGGTTTATATACTTACATTTCCATTCCATTTATTTTAAGAAAATCTTGTATTTCACCATTCTGGGCACTTTCTTTTTTCTAATCATTCCATTATAATATTGATTAATGGGCAGCTGAGTTGATCATTTGGCTCACTGGCCTCCCACTGCCGGTCTATTGAGATGCATGACAGTGTACTTCTTACTAACCACAAGACTTTTTTAAGAACGAAGGTGAATTTTGATATCAAAACGCACCTAATGGAATTTGAAATGTTTTGAAAATGGTTCTCAATATTTTTTTGATTGCTGTGTGCTTCAAATTGGATGGTTGCGAAAAAATATCAATTTGTTTAGTTCTGATCAAAAGCAGCAAATGCTAATTAATTAGAAATTTGTCCAAATAATTGGTGATTTTAAAAAAATCATTTATTACAAGAAAATTATTTTTCATCCAACGTCTTTCAGGGAAGATTGCCGAAAAGCAATGGCATTTAAATCTCATTGCAGAACTGGTTCTGGTTTAGCAATCCATAAAGGTCTTGGTACAAAACAAAATATGGTTTATTTCTGACAGTTTCAATGTATAAAAGTTCATAAAACCAAAGAAGGTGATGTATATTACTGAGATCAACTTCAGCATTTTCTCTTGGTATTCATACCTTCTTGGTAGGAAGATATATATATAATGTAATATATATGGTGCTTAAATGACACTAATGATCTAGTTTTCTTTTGTAATATGCAATTTAAATATTATTTAATAAATTTATTATAATTTGAGGTTTTGTTCGTATATTTCCTCTGATCAGTTGAGTCTGGTCATGATTTACACCCAATGCTATATTAAAGATGAGATGTTTAATCATAGAATAATTCTAACTTGTGTTTTTTTGTATATAATAATAATAATCCTTGCATTTGATACAGCGCTTTTCACGTCAGGAGGACGTCCCAAAGCGCTTCACAGAACACACTGTAAAGTGAATCGACTGTATATTTGTGGGCGAACGCGGCAGCCAATTGCGCACAGCAATGTCCCACAAACAGTCGTAGATTGAAAATGACCAATTTATTATTGTTTTTGGAGGGATTATTATTAGGCTCTGTGTGGAGTAAGGAAACTTGCCCAAGGTTTCGCCCTGACCTGCCTGGAAATAAACTCAGGTGTCTGGCTTGCAAAGCGAGTGCTCTAACCACTGAGCTACAGGACTCCATGGGACGGATGGTGGTTCTGGAAAGGTGAGATCAGAATGGGTCTATATGATTTCTATGAGTCACTGTCAGTAGTGATCTAATGTTTTAAGTATCATTCAGCTTTGTTGGGAGATAAATGGAGGGGCATTTCATGTAATATTGTAATTTTGCTGATAAAATCAAGCTCTCTGCACCAATTGAACAGATGGGTTGTAGAATACCAGATGCAGTGTAGATAAATTGAGGTAAACGCATATTGAAACCCGTAACAGGTCTATCCATTAGCAAAGCTGGAGGAGCTGGGTACGTTCGTTCATTCATTCATTCGATTTCTATTAACTTGAAATATAATCCTTGCATTTTAATACAGTGCATATAATATCAAAGCGCTTCAGAGGGAATTGCTATAAAGTGTTGTGACTTTGTATTTCTCGCCCTAACATGTCGGGTGTGGTCCAAGCTGGGAAACTTGCCAGGGAGTGCCCTCATTGCCAAGCTATGCGGGTTTAGCTGGTAAGAGACTCCAGCCGTTACCCCCAACGCACACGCTGGGAGTGGGGGGGGCGGTTCCCGAAGCCATTTTTTTTGGGGGGGGGGGGGCGGGGGGAGAGGGGTTTTGTTTGCCAAACTGCGCCTAATCATACTCCCCCCCCCCCCCCCTCCACCCCCACTACCCCCCCACCCCACCCCCGCAAAACATAGTCCTGTAGCTCAGTGGTTAGAGCACTCGCTTTGCAAGTGAGAGACCTGAGTTCAATTCCAGGCAGAGGGCGAAACCTTGGGCAAGTTTCCTTACTCCACACAGAGCCTAATAATAATCCCTCCAAAACCAAAAACAATAATAAATTGGTCATTTTCAATCTACAACTGTTTGTGGGACATTGCTGTGCGCAATTGGCTGCCGCGTTCGCCCACAAATATACAGTCAATTCACTTTACAGTGTGTTCTGTGAAGCGCTTTGGGACGTCCTCCCGACGTGAAAAGCGCTATATCAAATGCAAGGATTATTATTATTATTATTATTATATAGTCAGTTCACTTGACAATATATTTCCGCGAAGCGCTTCGAGACGTCTCGGAAGACGCGATAAGGCGCCGTATTGCGTCAAACGCGAGGATTATTATTAATACTTTCTGGAATGAGAGCGAGAGAGAGAGAGAGAGAGTTCCCATTCCCATTGCAACACCCTAATGCCATGTGTCCAGGTGGGAATGTAGGGGTTGGACACTCTCCAGCAACAGTGATGGTGATGGGGAGGAAGTCAGACACACACACACACACACACACACAGACGGGACCACGTGGACCCCCCCAGCACGTGACACCAGTGCGGCTTCATCGCTAGGACCCCGCGCGCACGCGCACGAGCGAGAGAGAGCGAGAGAGGTGTCCGCGGCGCCTCACATTTCACAGTCCCGCAACTGTCCGCGAAAGGAAAGACGAAACCAAAATAAAAAATTTTTTTTTAAAAAAAACCCAATAAAAATAAATCGCCCTTTTTAGTGAGAATGACTCCCGAGTTGAGGGGCTTCGGTCAGAGAGCGGGTTAAGTTGGACTGGAGGGCGTCGTCGGCGAGCGGCGCGCGGAGGGCGACCCCCGGGCTGACGTTGGGTTCGGTTCGCGTCAGTTGGGAGGAGAGAGAGATAGAGAAAGGCCCCGGGGATAGAGAGAGAGAGAGAGGGAGTGAGAGAGAGAGAGAGAGGCCTGGACTATGGGCCCGGGTTACGGGCTGCTGTGCGGCTGCCTGCGGGCGGCGGCTGGGCGGGGAGCGGGGCTGTGGAGGCCGGTGAGTAGCGTCGCTGTCACCGCCTCCCCCCCCCCCCCCCCCTCCCCCCGAGGCCTCTCTGGACTTCTTGTCGGTTTCCCTGAGAAGCTTCTTAACCGCCCAAACCCTCCCGGGGGGGCCGCCCGGGGGGGGGTGAGGGGCCGCCCGGGGGGGGTGAGGGGCGGGGGGGGGGGCCGACCCCGGGGGGGGGGGGGGGGGGGGGGGGGGGGGGGGGGGGGGGGGGGGGGGGGGGGGGGGGGGGGGGGGGGGGGGGGCCGGGGGGGGGGGGGGGGGGGGGGGGGGGGGGGGGGGGGGGGGGGGGGGGGGGGGGGGGGGGAGGGCCGGGGGGGTGAGGGCCGCCCGGGGGGGGTGAGGGGGGGGGGGGGGGGGGGGGGGGGGGGGAGGGCCGCCCGGGGGGGGGGGGGGGGGGGGGACGGGGGGGGGGGGGGGGGGGGGGGGGGGGGGGGGGGGGGGGGGGGGGGGGGGGGGGGGGGGGGGGGGGGGGGGGGGGGGGGGGGGGGGGGGGGGGTGAGGGTCGGGGGGGGAGGGCCGCCCGAGCTTCGGTCACAGATTCATCACTCATTCATTCGTTTGTTGTTAGAGACCCCTTTGGGTATGAAAGGCCAAGAAAACTACAGCAGTGTTACAGTTTGTTGAGACTCTTGTGGGAAGAGGCACTTGTGTGGAATGGAGCTGCTTTAGGGTCCGGGTTAAATTACTACTACTAATAATAATAATATAATAATAATATCATCATCATCCTCCTTGCATTTGATGTGGCGCTTTTCACGCCTTCCGGACGTCTCGAAGCGCTCCGCGGAATAGACTGAAGCGATGTTGGCTGTACGTTCGTGGGGCCAAGAAGAATGATGATGATGATGATGATGATAATAATGATGATGATAATAATAAATCCTCGCAGTTGATATCACGCCGTTGAGACGTCTCAAAGCTCGTTCCCGTCTCAAAAACCGGCTCAGGAGATTATCAGTACAGGTGCACGTGTCCATAAATTGATAGAATGTGTGTACGCAGAGATAAGACGCTTGCCGCGCACGCGTGTGTATGTGTATGTGTTCGTGTGTGTGTTTGTGTTACAGTGACCCAGAACAACTTGTCCTAACTGTAGTTAAATTATCTTAATGGGGGAAGGGTGACAAGTATTACTTAAGTAACATTCGCTACACTTGTAAGTAAATGTTTATTATTGAATCTGTTTTCGGAGGTTTTTTGAAATGATAACAACAACAGCAACAAAGATTACACGTGTACAAGCGCCTTTCGCATTGGGAGGACGGCCCAAGGACAGTCAGTGTTTCGGACCCACGTTGGGGGTCGGGATTGGGAGAGGGTGGAGGGCAGGGGTGGGGAAGCAGGGTCGATGAGGAGGGTCTTGAGATGGGTCTTGAAGGAGGCAGGGGAGGGACTGCGGAATGGAGTTCCAGAGGATGGGGCAGAGTGGCAGAAGGCCCGGTGGCAAGGTGAGGAACGTGAAGCAGGCCGGAATCCACTGAGCGGAGGGAGCTGGCAGGATGGTAGGGGGTTAGGAGGTTGTAGAGGTAGGGAGGACCAAGGCCATGGAGGGCTTTGAAGGTGAGGACCAGGATCTTAAACTGTATCTTCTGTGTGATGGGAAGCCAGTGGAGTCGGGCGAGGATGGGGTGATAGGGTCATGATGCCTGGTGCGGGATATAAGCCACTGTATTTAATGCAAGCAAGGCTTTCATTCCTGATCATCCCTTTTTAATGAGTTGTTCTATTCCCTGGCATTACTTAAAAAGATTTTTTTAAAAATGAACATACTGATGATGTTCACTGTGAGTGTTCTCCATACAAAGTTTAATAATTTTTTTTTGTCCCCAGTATTTCAGACCAAACATTGGCAGAAATTTTGCACGTCGAGAAAATATAATCACTTTTAGGCTATGTTCAAAACAACCAAAAGGTAAATTATGGATCGGGCTATCTGTTTTGTTTGTCGGTAGCCTAACAAAACTGTCTTTTGTATAATTTTGTAGTAGTTAATCAGGATTAACCCATGAGAATTTTGGCTTAAGAAAATCTTTGAGCACATTTGATCTCATCCTTCTAATCAGATCTTGGTGTAAAGATATCCTTAATTTTAAACTTGATCTGCATAACACTGAACCTGTGCCCAGTTGTTCTACTACATCTGTTCCTTATTGGGTGTTTTTATAAATATTAAGAGGATTTTTTTCTTCTTGTTTCAGGATTTGAAAAATATTTCTCAAAAAATAAACAAGCAACAGAACCAAAAGCCAACGATACTAAAGGTAAAGCCTGGTCTAAAACTGAGACACAAGCACAAGGATTATGTAATGTTCTGTTGATTATAACCAGGTGAACATTATACGATTCCATTCACCTTAGACCAGAATATCACTTAGTGTTTTTTTAATTTTTAGGATTCCTAGCAGAATTTTGCCATGCAGTGCTACTCAGCTGTGTGGGGTCATGCATTTGTTTTTCCACATAAAGATGATGAACTGGGGTTTGACTTGAGAGTGCCCCCATGGACCAGATAGTAGAGTTCTCTATTGGGTTGAAATTCCGGTTGGCGTTTTCAGCCATTATAATTGCTAATTTCCAAAGATATAATGTGTAATACCGACCAGCATTTCAGCTCATGTACTTTCACCTCATGAAGTATTTAGCTTGTGTCTGTGACATACAGAACTTCGGCACAAAATCTAAGGCACTGACACTGTAGGGCCACTATATGCAGCTTACTGTATTGTGCTTTGTGTCCAGCCTCTATTTTGTGTACATGCACAGGGTGCCGTTTGCTACGTGATCGTTACCTGTACGCATATTCTGTGTTTGTATCTACGTGAGGGAGATTTAGGCAAACCTACATGGACATGGTGGCTGACGTGACCTTGGAACACATTGAATGATGTTGCTTCGCGCATGACAGCGTGTGATCCTGACCCTCCTCTTGCTAATCAGTAGTAGTCCCTTTTAGATGCTTAGTGTAGCACAAATACTACTACCAGTCATTGCTAAAATCAGCACAGGGTACAGAATTTGTTTGTGACATGTGTGGCAACTTGTTTGGGTGCCATTGATGGTGTTCTTGTAACCTAAACCCAGCTTTAAGTACTATTATTGTAATCTCAGGTCAGTCTGACTATTTCCTAGCTTCATTATGCTGCAAATACTAGTCCATCAGCTCCCATCATTGGATTGCATAAAGTTGTACTGGTCATGGCCCCAGATGAGAAGGACGTTTTCCAAATTAAATACTAGGTGACATTATTCAATGTTTGCTATACTTTTTATCAATAGCAGCTGACCTAAAGTCCAAGGCGTCCGGAGGAAGCAGTGGAGGTGGAGGTGGGGCAGGAGGCAACAGGAAGAGAGGTGGGAAGAAAGACCAATTCACCTGGTGGAGCCGCATTCAGAAGGTTTGTATTTTGGGGAGAAAAAGGCAACAACTGATTAGTGGCTCAATGGGTTAGGTTACTGCACTTAACATTTATTTGAAACTCTTATTGTTAAAATGTGAAGGTTGGTTGAGAATTTTATACTGCAGAGAGGGGCTGAATGGCTGAAACTAGTTGACAACTGATTAGTGGCCTCCTGCATGTCCCTCGTGTCCTCTGTTCCATGATCAGCGGCCCCGCTGTCAGCCACTATGCCCCAAAACTCTGGAATACTCTGCCTCAGTCCCTCTGCCTCGCACCTTCCTTCCCCATCTTCAGGTCACGTCTGGAGACCTTTTTGACCATGCTTATGATCACCCCCTTCTGGCTTGTAATCGTGCTCTGGGACTCTACCCTGAGTAAGCGATGTTATATAAATGCAAGTTGTTATTAAACAGTTTTGTGTCATATTTTCTAACTCCAGGGAGACTTTCCATGGGAGGATAAGGAATTTCGATACTTGGTTATAGGAATTGCTGGATCTCTCTCTGGATTTCTATATTTGTACACCAGGAATCCAGGCAGGGAGATCACCTGGAAAGATTTCGTCAATCATTACCTGGCTCGAGGAATGGTAAGTAATTTTGTAATGCTTCAAACCTGTATTCCTATTTGATGATCTTCCAGAAAAAGTAATTTATGGTTCATTGCAAGTAGTCTGTCATCTGAGTAAGATCATTGCTTTTGAAACCTTAGTCTCATTTTTCCATTTCAGGTAGATCGTCTAGAAGTTATCAACAAACAATTTGTCCGTGTAATTTTCATCCCAGGGACTGTGACCGCCGATGGGGTAAATCTAATTTGACCTAAACATTTCTATTTGGGTTTTCCTATCAAAGCCTTAGGACGTCCTCCCGTCGTAAAAAGCGCTATACAAATGTAATTTGTTATTGTTTTGTGATAGGGTATGTGTGAATAACAGACCAGCATTTCTGTCGCACGATGCAAACGCAGTATAATAGCCAAGCATGAAGTGCTTATAATTACATTTTTATATAAATATTTAATGATGCTACATAGAATCTGATTTAAGAATTGAATGTTGCAAATGTTTTTAGTTTTTTTTGTAGCCTCTTATTCGTTACTAGTTTCTTAAATTACTCGCATTCTGTTCACAATTTATCCCTGAATGGAAAAAAGTCATTTAATGTTTATACTTATAAAAGTTTATAGCAATAACATTGAATGTGAATTTGGTAAAGTACAATTGCTAAATGTATAATCGATAGACAGAAATATAGCTTAAAGGTGTCGAGCCAATAGAGGGCACTCATGTTCAGTACTCAAGCATACTCTGCAGCAGTGATTAAGGTCTCATTACCAGGTTTTGAGAATCAGACCATTTCTAAAGCAAAGTCATAAGCACAGCGTGTTTAGTTTTGTTCAGTGTTTTATTCACTATTTTCTTAAATAATTCTATTAAATTCAGAAAAAAACTTTATTAATCACTTTTGTGTGTTTCTCCCCTCTTCCCTGCCCCCCGCCCCCCACTCATTTTTGCAGAGCTATGTGTGGTTTAATATTGGCAGTGTGGATACCTTTGAGCGCAATTTGGAAAATGCTCAGCTGGAGTTAGAAATAGAATCAGCTAATCGTGCAGCAGTGGTGTACAATACCGAGAGTGATGGGTGAGTGGCCCCCTATGTTCTGTGGAATTTCTTTGTCCATTATCGTTTTTGATGCCCAAGATACTCCAGGCTTGTTGGAATTATTGAGATCTCTGGTGTCGGGCATTAATCACCATGGAAGAATACTTAATAGCTCTGTGCTACACCAGTCAGGTCATTTGACTGTATGTAATTTGGTCTTGTTCTGTCTAAACCAATAGCTTCAAGCTATAGTAGAATTCATTGTATTTACTGTTTAAACAGTAATAAACAAAAACAGACTTTAGAAATAGACACTTTAAAACAGAATTTTTTTTAAAAAAAAGTTAACTTAATTCTTTGTAACCTCCTGTTTGCAGGCACAGAAGCAGTAAGCAATGTGTGATTATATGTTCAGGATCAGTTTTCTCTGATATAATCTATAATTACAATTCACATGTTTTGAATTGCCTATGAAACAAATTGTATTCAATTTTTAATTGATTTGTTTCTACACGAATTATGCTATATAATTGCAAATGATTACTATTTACAGTATAGCAAATTTATAGTATAACATTTTTCAAGATTTCCTAAAATGATTCATCGCTTGGAACTGATCAATTAACTACAAAATCTGGAATGTTTGTTTTATATACTACACCGGTAAATGTGATCCTTGCATGAAATTTTGAGGTGTACTTCAGCTTAAAAAAAAGTTTCAAGTTAAGAATGAAAAATTGAATGACTGACTGACCATGTGTTAAGGTTGATTTAATGCTCTCAATGCGCTGCTGTATCTTAGGGGTGAATGCTCTTTGATCGGTGTTTTGTTCTACATTTAGTTCATTCATGATAAGCATGGTCCCAACTCTCCTGCTCATTGGATTCCTGCTCTACACATTGCGACGAGGGTCAATGGCAGCCGGCCGTGGGGGGCGGAGCGGGGGACTGTTCAGTGTGAGCGAAACCACAGCAAAAATACTGAAAGACGAAATTGATGTAAAATTTAAGGATGTGGCGGGATGTGAAGAAGCTAAGTTAGAGATTATGGAGTTCGTCAACTTTCTGAAAAACCCCAAACAATACCAGGATTTGGGAGCCAAGATTCCAAAGGTATGGAAACTAACACGTTAATATGCAACAATGATAATTACAGCACCAGAGTGGCCTGGGGGAATTTATCGGTTTGGGGTAAAATGTAATTGATTGTTTAGATTATTGGCCTCCTTTATAAAGATTGTAGTGCTTAACTGCATATTTTATCTTTCATACGTTCTTGGTGACATTTTCCTAAGGCTTCTAAATTATAATTTTAGTTGAACAAATCACTCTTCCTCAGAATACTGTGGTTTCAATTAATTGCATTCGTGGAGTCCTGTAGCTCAGTGGTTAAAGCACTCGCTTTGCAAGCGAGAGACCTGAGTTCAATCCCAGGCAGGTCAGGGCGAAACCTTGGGCAAGTTTCCTTACTCCACACAGAGCCTAATATTAATCCCTCCAAAACCAAAACAATAATAAATTGGTCACTTCAATCTACGACTGTTTGTGGGACATTGCTGTGCGCAATTGGCTGCCGCGTTCGCCCACAAATATACAGTCAATTCACTTTACAGTGTGTTCTGTGAAGCGCTTTGGGACGTCCTCCCGACGTGAAAAGCGCTATATCAAATGCAAGGATTATTATTATTATTATTCACAGTTGGTCTCATTTTAATTCTCCTGTTTTGGAAAATTCTTACTGTGGATCTGAACCTGTCCAAATTTCAGTAAAAAATTTACAGTGACCTCTCATTGATTACAGGGTGCTGTCCTAACTGGACCTCCAGGTACTGGAAAAACCTTGTTGGCTAAAGCGACAGCTGGGGAAGCTAATGTTCCTTTTATAACTGTGAATGGTTCTGAGTTCTTAGAGATGTTTGTCGGTGTTGGACCTGCCAGGGTAAGTTATGTGTCTTAAGTTATGTATGTGGAACTGTTACGTGTCACTGTTTGCTCTAAATTTAGTTAGAATTTATAGTGTTACCCTCATGATCTTTAGACTACACTTTTACAGTGTATCCGGTGAAGCACTTTGAGATGTCCTCCAGGTGTGAAAGGAGCTAAATGAAATACGATTATAATATTACCATAAAGATCAGGAACGTAATACTTGCTTAGTGTTAATTACTTTTTTATGTTTCAGGTGAGGGATATGTTTGCGATGGCACGGAAGAATGCCCCCTGCATTCTTTTTATAGATGAGATCGATGCTGTTGGAAGGAAACGGGGCAAGGGGAACTTTGGTGGCCAGAACGAACAGGAAAATACTCTAAATCAGCTGCTAGTAGAGATGGATGGTAAATGCGTAGCATACATGTTGTTACGATTGGTAACTAGTTAGTACAGAAGCTACTGAAATATTGCATAGGAATTAATCCCAAATTAACAATAATCCGTGCATTTGGTATAGCGGTTTATCACGTCAGTTGGACGTCTCAAAGTGCTTCAAAGGAATTACTGTGAAATGGAGTGATAGTCTGTTTGTAGGCAAACACAGAAGCACAATTCCACATAGCAATGTCCCTCAAACAGTCATGAAACACCATACTTTTAAGTTTAATAGAAGATGCCAACTAAAATTATATCTGGAGGCCTCTTGTGTAAGATGAAAGACACAATATTGGATTTGCTCAAGATTTGAGGTTCTTGGTGTCTGCAGGGAAGGAGCTTTGTAATATCTCAAGTCTTCTAAAGTGTTTTTCTGTTTTGAAGACCATAGTATGCATAGATCACAATGACAAACTAATCAGCATCATGAATTATAAATTAACCACTAAGACAGGAAAAGAAGGATTAGAGTATAGATGTACATATTTTTAAATATCCGTACTCCAGGGGAAAAAACTGCAGTAAGACAATGGTCCTTTCTTTCAGAACAGCTGCCAAAGTCTCTTTGCGACTGGATTTTTTTTTGAGTCACATGGACTCCTCGAGGAATCTGTCTAGTATAAGCATCACATTGATTCTGCATCTGACTCCTCTCTGGATATTTCTGCAGTTGAGATGCAAAGTCACAGGGATTTGGAATGTGAGATCTCTGCGGAGAGCTCAGCTGAACAAATTCTATTGCAAAGTGATATTGAATATTAAGTGAATCTCTTTCCTCTGAAGCTCATTTTCTCAAGTATTTCTGTACGTTTTGTCAATTCAGTCTTTTAACATTTCTTGTTATTTTGGTGAGGATTGCACATTGTGTTTGGTCACAGTACATTCCGTTACCTGTGTCTATAGGTCCGTACGTATGATAATGCTGCTTCCTGAGGATTGACTGGACCAAATTATAAATACAATAGTTTTTTGGTGATGAGAGATGGGTAGTACGAGTAGGGATGGTGGCTCAGGGTTTCACTGGGATCGGTGAGATTCGGTGTCCTTATTGTATGTTTGGGGGGTAGGGGAGGAGCTGGTGCTGTGAATATCTGAGAATGGATTCATTGTTGGGGATGGATGGATTGAGTGGGCTCAAACCTCCTGATACTCATGTGATAAACATGGGGATACAAATCTGTTGATAAGCTGGATAGTCTTTCCAGTGAAGTCTGGTGTTACAATCCTTTCACTCCAGACACATTGTCAGTTTTTGTAAAGGAGGAGCTTATAGCATTGTTTTCTAAATACATAGTACATTTGTGAAGTATTGTAGCGTGACTGATGACCTGGGATGTAGCATCTATTCTCTGCAGTCGTTTTGAACAAAACCGACACCCATAGTATTTCCTAGAAATTTGTCGAACCGAAACCTTATACTGAGCTCCAGTGTCTATTTAGGCCTCGTGAAGAATGACACATGCCAAACTATTTCAGAATGAGACCTGGCATTTAACCTATTTAAATCTGAATTTCCCTTTTGAAAACCTCTTGATCCAGGGATTGACCTCCTGCTCAATCTCCTGCCATCTGTCATGCATCACGCAGAATCTTCTCAGTTAGCTTTCCATTGCTTTCCTCGTGGGTCCATATCTCCTGAAACATAGGCCAGAGAAAATCATGCTCACACTCAGGCTGTCATTGCTACAAACTTGACTTACTTGCTGGAGTTCTGCAAGAAGCCAATTCCACCGGATTAACTTTAGTGAAAGATCTCGATGGGACCTTATCGGAGGTGGTGGGGAAGCTGCCTGAGTGAGGATGGGTTACTCCACTTATGAAGTGCTGGTGATTCCTTGATCTGCCTTGGCCAGTGCCCCAACCAATTGTTAGAGTAAAAAAAGATTATGTCTCAAAATTGGCATTAGTTAAAGTAGCCTTAAGATACTGTTAAGTTTCAGTGCTGATGGCATAACTCCATTGTTTATCTTCTGAACCAGTATACATTTGATATTTGTATTTTTTTTCCGTTTGTTTTAATCTTTTTATGAGTAGATTTTTTTACGTCTATTCTTTTAGGGTTCAATACAAGTACCAATGTTGTAATTCTGGCTGGAACAAATCGGCCTGACATTCTGGATCCTGCTCTGATGAGGCCGGGCCGATTTGATAGACAGATTTATATTGGTAAGTTGACAGCAATGCGTAACTCAGCCAATAAAATATGTGATTCTGTCTATGAGTTGCCTGAAGGTTGATAAAGATCAGCTTATTTGTGCTAGACTTTTTCTTGAATGGATCTTCCTTAATTGAGTGCTACTATAATTGATGATCTTTGAGTGAGTGGACTTTCCTTGACTTGAGCCTGCAGTGATATTGATATGAAGTTAGTGCCATATAGCAATGCTTTGCCACCAAACTGCTTGTAATTTCTTGAATAAATGGAGTGACTTGGACAGCAATCGACTTTTTGGTACCAAAGATGTTTCTTCTAAATTATAGGGTTGGAGACATTGCTTTATAATAATCCTTGCATTTGATATCTTACTTTATCTCATTGTTAATGTTCTAAAGAGCTTTATAGAATTTACTATAAAATGTAGTGACTGTTTATCTGTATTTGTAATTGAAATATTAGAAAAACAATCAGAGCATTTGTTTCAACAGTTTTTAAATATTCTTTTTGCGACAGATTGTTCTGCCCTGTGCATGATAATTCACCAAGAAAAACTAGAATAGATCAGTTTTGAGGAATGCAGTTTAAAACTGAATTGCACTGGAGCGCAGCTGCCAAGATCACTTTAAAAAGTGATTCTTTGGTAGTGTGCAGTATGTAATCAAATAAATCCAGACAATTCATTCAGAAATGTTTCCTTAAAGAAAGGTTCCTTAGTGATCAAATGAATGCTTACAAACTGTCTCATTGAACGTGTTCTGCAGTTACGGATATTAAAACAAGACGGGTTAACTGCAGAATAAATTCAGTTTGTAGGCTTTTAATTTTTTGTGATTCTATTGCTTGTCATAATTGGTCTAAACCAGGTTCAAGGCTGTATTTTGTCATACAGGTCCTCCTGATATCAAAGGACGGGCATCCATTTTTAAGGTCCACTTGAGTCCATTGAAAATGAACACAAGTATCAAAAAGGAAGATTTGGCGCGTAAACTGGCTGCACTCACTCCCGGATTCACTGGTGAGTCGAACACGGAGGCTATTTGAAAGAGATTTGCCTCCATTTTAATGTCTTTGCAGAGATTCAAGAAGTGAGTTTGAATGTTACCACACAAAATGAACTATATCTTGCCTGCAAGCCCTGCTTTGATTCTGTTGTGACAATTCATGTACTGTACATTTTGGAAAACTCTTCTACATCCAAGTGTTGGCTGCATTATATTAGCTCAGTTAATCTCGATTTTGAGCTGCGCCATCTAGGTGTAGATAATCTTTATTCCAAAAAATCTTTTTTGTATAAAATAGTCTTCATTGCACTCTGCAGTCCCTGGAAGGTGTTGATGAGAAATCATCATGCTGTTAAAATCAGGTCTCAGTCCTACAAACGTCTTTCCTGATTGGAAATCTATGGATTCTGTAATATATTTGGCAGAAAGCCTCTTAAAAGCAGGTGACCAAAAATGTTGTATTGTTTACCATTTGGGTTTAACATAATCTACAAACTGATGCAGGATATTTCTCTTTAACAGGTGCCGATATCGCTAACGTGTGTAATGAAGCCGCTCTTATTGCTGCTCGACATTTAAACGATTCAATCCATGCAAACCACTTTGAGCAGGCGATTGAGCGTGTGATTGGAGGTGAGGCAAATAGTGTATGCAGAATGACTTGCACCCAATACAGTCAGATCCCATTTGAAATGGTGGTTTAGAGCCATAACATCAAACCCTGGGTTATAACTTTATGTTATAAATATGAGTGCCACTCAGTGCTTAATGGTATCAAGTCGCCTTTTCCAGTGATGAATAGTTGACTCCCTGAGTGTGCTAACATCGGGAGGTCTCTATGCTATGTTCAGGAAGCCAGACGGTCAGCACCAGGAGCCCACGAAACCACAGAGCCTTGGTACAACCTTGCTAAAGCAATTCAGTGTTATACTGGGGACCAAATGTATCTTTGTATTCTGCTCTCTATTTTCATGCTCTTTATTTTTTTTTCCATCCTTGTAAATGAAGGATAGCGATCGTCTCCAGCAATGATGAGATCTGACAGTTCTTTCATGAGCTTCAAGATGAAGTGAGGTCTTTGAAAGAGTGCTTAGATCTTCCATCCATGATAATACGTTCTCTTATTCTGTGCCTGTAAATCTTCCAATAAAGCTGAAAATTGATCTTTTACAATCTGAAAACTTTAAGCTGCTGCCATCAATTCAAGGCATGTGAAAAATTGAAGGCTGTTTACACAAGTAAATTAGACTGCATAACTTACCGACTCTTAGCACTTTTGTTTGCTTCTTGTTCAACTTTTGCTCCTTTTTTTTAGGGCTGGAGAAGAAAACACAGGTGCTACAACCAGAGGAAAAAAAGACTGTTGCGTATCATGAGGCTGGACATGCAGTTGTCGGCTGGTTCCTGGAACACGCTGATCCGTTACTTAAGGTAGAAATTTACAAGTGGTGGTGGTGTATGGGGAGAGGGGGGGATTATCTATTTAATTTCTCATTTAATAGGGTAAACGTGTTTAGTATCATAGAATTTTGGGACATTAAAGTGTGCTTGTGTTCCTCTCTCTGATTCATCCAGTTTACGATTTTCTGATCTCATGCTGTTTGTCTCAGAGAGAGAATGAGGAAATTCTTCAATCAGTGCTGCTTTTGTTTAGCCAGATGAATGAATCAATGATAAAGGCCTTGGACAATATGCCTGAGTGTTGTATTAGTTGAGGAACAACGCCCATTACAGTAACCATAAAGTGCATTTGGATAAAAGTTCTTGTATTCAGCATATATTAATATATATGTTCAGTTGGGTCAAGATGACCCATTAAATCAAATATTTCAAATATGGATGTAAATGGATGTGTATCACTGATCTAAGCTCTGTTTAGCATCTGTACTGCTATTGTTTCTTGTTGAAGCTAAATGTCTAGAATAAGTTATCTTGAAAGAGTTTGTTGAGGCAGTTTTTTTTAACCTAAATGTAAATAAATTATTCATTGGCTTTTTACGCATCTCTATTGAGTATTGAGTCTGGTTCAACCCATATTCGAGACCAGAATTATTGCAGATCCCTCATGTTTTGGATTACCAAAATATTATAAATTTGACGTGTAATTTTTTTTTCTGCAGGTGTCCATTATACCCCGTGGAAAGGGCCTTGGGTATGCTCAGTATTTGCCTAAAGAGCAGTATCTCTACACAAAGGAGCAGCTGTTTGATCGTATGTGCATGATGCTTGGTGGCCGAGTATCTGAGAAGATATTCTTTGGTCGCATCACCACAGGTGCACAGGACGATCTGAAAAAAATCACGCAGAGTGCTTATGCTCAGGTAAATCTTCACTTATAGGCGACTGAAGGTCGGTGCACTTAGTGGAGGTGGGAGAGCATTAGCATCAGCTTAAAAAAAATCAGATATCCATCAAGAATCCTAGTCTTGGTTTTGAGCTGCCTTTAAACGGAAGAGTGAGGAGTTTCAGAATATCATCTGCTGCTAAGTATTGGTTGTTTGCAGGGAATTGTTTCTAAATGCTTTTTGGGGCACGTTCTTTGTGTTTTGCAGATTGTTCAGTTCGGCATGAGCGATAAACTTGGGCAAGTTTCCTTTGACCTTCCACGCCAGGGTGATATGCTCATTGAGAAGCCTTACAGTGAACAAACCGCACAGATTATTGACGAAGAGGTTCGGGCTCTTATCGGTGCTGCAAATCAGAGAACATTGGAATTGCTAACAGAGAAACGAGTGGAAGTTGAGAAAGTAAGTGACTGTTTCAGTGTCGTTTCCTCACTAGGTGACTTCTCCGTGTCATTTCAATAAGTGCTTCATTGCTGCTGTAAATTAGAGTACGGTTATGCTATATACGAGCTAAATCCCACATTTTTATTTGGGAACATTCCTGCAGCTCCACACACTTCTTGATTGACATCTACTCAATAACTTGCAATCTAATACTGGTTGTTATTTTCTTTCGATAATTTCAAATGTTTGATACCATCACCACTGCTTATATTCTTGGTTATAAAATATTTTGCCCACAAAATATAGTCAATTCACTTTACATTATGTTCTGTGAAGCGCTTTTGAGACGTCTCGAAGACGTGTTAAGGCGCTATATCACATGCAAGTATTATAATACTTTTGTAGCTCAGTTTTCATTAGTACCAATACAACACAATCTTCCTGATGCATAAATCAAAATGAGATATGTTTTATAACTTCACATTTAGTGGAGGATTTTAATCTATGCTCAGTAAAAACAAAGTGAGTAGCACATTTCCTTGACAACTGGAGACTGTGGAGAAGCCATATGCTGCTTTTATGCCGGGTTCTTTTTGGTGACTGATTTATTTTAAGACTAGAAAGTCAGGGAAGGAGGAGAATGAAAATAGTATATAATTCTTACCTCCTTATCTTTGCCCCCTCTTTGCTTAGTTTGTACTCCTATATAGGTAGTTGAGTATACCTGATTAAAATGATTATTCCTTACTTGAGATTTCTGTCTGGACATTTTTTCCCAATTGAAGTTAAATTACTGTTATTTTTCAGCCTGGGTGATGTGTAGAGTAACTCACATTTTACCCTAATCATTGCATTTTATTTAATCCGGGGGATTGTTAGGCAGAACACTGGGTGAAAACTTCCTTTCTCTTTGCAATTAATGCAACGGGATTTTTAACATACATCTGAACTAGCACACAGGACCTTTGCTTAACATCTCATTCTAAGGGCTGCACCTCTGATTGTGCATCATTTCTCCAGCACTGTACTGGAGTGTCAGCTTAGTCGATGACCTCAAAGTGCTAACTTGGGACTTGAACCCACAACCTTCTGACCCAGAGTTCAGAATGATTGGCATAGGTTAACTTTCATGTAAAATCTTAATTAATGCACAGGATGCAAGATCGAAAGGATCACTGATAGAACTTGCACCCCTTAATAATAATAATAATACGTGCATTTGATATCGCACTTTTCATATCTTCTAGATGTCACAAAGCGCTTCACAGAATATATTGTAAAGTGAATTGACTATGTTTTGTGGGTGAAACTCCCTCATCACAAATGTTCATGACAATTTACTGTATTAAAACATCAGGTTTTAGTTCTATAATTAATTTTCTGTGTTTGCTACATTTTGTCAGGTGGCAAAACGATTGTTGGACAAAGAAGTACTCGATAAAAGCGACATGGTTGACCTTTTGGGGGCACGACCTTTTTCAGAGAAATCCACGTACGAGGAGTTTGTAGAAGGAACCGGCAGTTTTGAAGAAGACACGTCCTTGCCAGAAGGACTGAAGGACTGGAATCGTGAGAGGGAGCCAAGCATTGAGGAACTGCCAGAGAAACAGCCCACTTGAAATAAATCTGTGCAACTCTCTACTAATTGTAGAACTTGGTAACATCCAAATTGAAACATTTGCTTTTCTCGTATAAGGTGAGATGGCTGAGAACACTAGAGAATGGATGAATTTTCACTTGTCCTAAAAAGAGATTGATTGCTATTTGTTGATGGAGCATGACTTGAGTGAGTCATGCAGTTCAGTGTTGCCTTGTACCAAGCAGAATTGTAATTGGTGACTGAGCCCATCAATTCCCCGGAACAAAACTGAAGCTGCTAAATAAACCTTTTCACTTCATTTCTCTCCTCAATCTTCTTGGGAGCATTGGAGAATAAGTGACGGTGAACTCAAATGAGAATTTTAAATGTTTCATTTAATAAATAGACCACATTCCAATGGTTGTAAACTGGCAATTGCAAGAGAGAATTTGTTTTATTCGTGTGAGAATTTTGACTGCACACATTTCTGAGTCTATAGGTCATTGTCATTTATGTAAATTCTTATTGAAGTTCTGAAACATTTGTGCCTTTGTTCAGCTTTCCTCTTATGTGTGCTGTGCAAATATAAATTCACAAGCATCAAACACATTTCAATAAAGATGTTTTCCATGCACAGTAGGTCAATCAGAATTAGAGAGAGAGGGAGAGAAGGAAGGTTTATATAGGTGTGACACAATTTGTTTTGTGGTCTGGTCCTGCTTGCCCTCAAAGGGGATTCTCAGCCTAGTTTGTATAGTTCTGATGAAGGCTCAGTGTTTGAAGGTATCAAACCCATCTTCCTCTTTCAGATACCAGTTTTCAGCTTTTCTATCTGGTTTCTTTAACTGAAGTTGGGTACGGCCTTGTTGTGCTCACACAATTATGTAAGTATGACAGTATTTTTCTGCTGTTGTGATAAGTCGTTGCACTGTACTTCTCTTTCACTCCACAAAGAGACCCTAATGGAATTACACCAGCCACCGAAACATGAGAGCTGCGAGCTAGCATCAGTTGAGCTCAAGATAAATATTCAGTTTCTTAAATTTGTAGTTTTCACAGGAATGCAGTTGTTTGGTGTAGGATAAATATATTTATTACTGTTCCTGTATTTATTTTTTGGGGAGTAATTGTAGTATGAAAACAGAATGTGGTAAAACATCTTGAATAAGCTGAAATGAAGAGCTTTATCCCACCATTTCTTTCAGTATTTATTCAACATATTGATGCCACAGAGTATTTCCATCTTTAAAATATCTTTGTGACTCCTGGTGATTCAGGATCAAATGAACATTACTTCCAGAATGTGAAGTGACTTGGCTAAACATATCCCTTCACTTTCATGACCAACTGTAGTATAATTAAACAATGGCCTTCATTTCTCAGCAGTGTACAGGGACAGCTGCTGTGTTGTCTAAAAGCCTGTATCCCGCAGGGTGTAATTAAAACACGGGAATATTTTTTGGTGATTGAAGACATTCCTGGCACAAAAATGATCATTGCTATTCTGCTGTATTTCATGGTGTTTGATTTCACTCTTGAAATTCATCTTGAGACGATGGTGTCTCCAATTAAATGTTTGTACCCAAATTATTCAAATGTGGCTAATTACAATGTCCTTCAGCTGCAGGGCAGCCTTTGTATACTGTTTGTGTTGTGAATTACCAATGATCGATACATGGATTACAATTTCCCTTCGTTTTTTGATGGGGCCGATCCAATCTGACAAATATATTTTGCCTTTCCATGTGACAATAGATTATTGTATAATAGACATTTGTAAGAAACTCTCCAAGACTGTATTTAGTTAAACAGTACAGACTTTTATTTTAGCTTTGTGCCTTATTAAACTTCCATCCAGTTCCCTTGTTCCCTGCAGAATATCAGTGGAAAATAGATAACCATCCAAAATGACAGAAGCTGATTTTGAGTATTTATTAAATGATTTTATTTATCTGTTGTGCTTTTGATGAAACATTGATGATTTTATAACGGAAAATCAGCAACTAGGCTGAGAGGATAATTTTCTAGATAAAGAACAGCATTACTCTAATAGTCTTTAAGCTTAATGTACTGCGGTTTTGTGTGGGGAAAGAATCTATGTAAGAAATGTTTGTCTAAAAATGATTCAGCCTGTCAATGAGGAGATATCCTTAATGATTAAAGAATTGAAATATTGGTAAAAGTGTCTAAAGTTAATAATAATAATCCTTATCACTTTGTTGAGACATCTCGAAGCACTTCACAGAATATATTGTAAAGTGGATTGACAGTGGGTGAAATGTGGCATTCTATTGCGGACAGCAGTGTCCCACAAACAATTGTGGATCGAGTTACCAAATTTATTTTTGAGGGATTATTACCCCCAGAAAGCAATCCACCAATCGACCAACAACTGAATTCCCACTTCCTGCAAGGTAAACAAAGGCACGTGGAGTAAGGAAACTTGCCTAAGGTCCAGGAATCAAGCCCAGGTCCTCTCGCAGCAACATGACTTCACAGTACCGTAAAGTTGACAATCCGTACATTTCCTTGTAGTTTGAACGCTCTTGGAGAATTGAAGTTTCTCAGGTGGATATGCTTGCAGTGGGGAAACTGATCACTGACAGAAGTGTATCAGGTTACAACTTCAGTAATTTGTTGCTCCCTGAATGCACACATCTCAACATTTGTTCTTCCAGTTACTTTTGATATCCGTCTAGCATGCCTCTAAAATATCATAAACCGTTTACTGAATGCTGCAAATACAATACGGCAGTTTATTTTTAACATCCTGCCAACCTAAGTGGTGTTACAATAACTTCTGATTTAACCTAAAATCCATTGACCTGATTTTACTCTGTTTTGAAATCAAGTCTTCTAACAGCTATCCCTTGTGCATTTGACAGAGCACCACAGTGACCTATATATTAAATAACATTGCTGAATAAATAGACCCTGCTGTGTGGAGTAGTTATAAATATTCTAGCAATTTGATCAGTTTGTGATGTCTTGGGCTACATTAATGGCATTATATCTTTAATTTGATTTAACTTGATTCCCATTTGTACGTGCAATCCAAATGCAGGGCACTACAGATGAGTCCGTGGCAGGGAGGCAAGTTGGAGAGGAGAGATAAAACCTGACAGTTTTTTTTGTTTACTCTCACCTTGGTTGCACTTATTTTGGCTAACACAGAGCTAATGTAGTGGGGGTTTGGACAGCTTGAGGGCTAAAGAAAATGGTGTCTGACACAATATAAAAGATGTGATGCATCTATCCCCCCGCATGACCCAATTCAGCCACCACGCAGTGCATTACCTATTTCATTTATATTCAGTCGTATTTGCTTAAATCCATGATAATCCTATATCTTCTAAAATATTAATTTCATATCCATTCTCCCTTATGTTGTCAGCATTTCTAAATGGTACCTAGATTGAACTTTATTATTAGTTTGAAAATTAAAGTAAAACTTGATGAGATCTCATTGGGATTTGTTTTGTGGAATAAAGGAATAGAATCGATTAAATTACAGTTTCACCGTGCCCTGATCCCTTGAGGAAATTCTCAGCTGAATTTTTTTTGAACATCAGCTTTAAATGGTGTGAGACAGCATTTCTAGCTTATTGCTGCACTTTCCTGCTAATGATGGGTAAATCAAATCTAGTGTGGATAAAACTGTCATTGATTAATGATGTTTATTAAGTATTTCATTTCAAATGTTAAGAGACAGTAATTTCTATTTGATATTTAATAGAAATATTTAAAAATAATTCAGGCTTACAATAGTTTCATATTTTTTAATACAATTATTAATATACAGTTACCATTAGTTGTAAAGAAAATGTAGAGAACATAAAGGTGATTCATTTTGTTAGGCCAGTAATTTACATATATATCCCAAGGAATTCATCCTTGGCTGTTGTGAAGAATCTACTTTTATGAATAATTGTATGTTTTAACCATCATTCAAGCAACTAAGCAAATGTTATACTAAACTCTGATTGAATAACTAGTCTAGGCAAGCATCTAGCTCAGCTTGTCAACAATTCGGTGCAAACTCACTCCTCGTGATATTTCCCTTATCAAAGACTGTCATTTAATTTAAAAAATAACCAATCTAAGCGCATACACTTGTTTGGCTTGATCTCTTGATTGGATGTAATATGAACTGGCTGCCTATCTGTCAATTATATCTGTGCAATATATATACATATCTTAAAAGAAACTTCAATTTTCTACCCTTTTAACTGCCATCTGAGGCCTGAGAGGTGCTTCCATAACCAATGCTGATGCTCTATGTTTAGCTGATGGAAGGTGTGGAGTTTTACTGAATAACTAACAACGGAAAAATATGAACTTTTGGGGTATTAAACATTCTTGACTATTTGCAAAATCCACCAAAGTTAAAAGGCTTAAAATAATACAATAATGATCATACGTCTAGAAATGTGTAAATAATATTAGAAATGATGGTGTTTACTAAATATAACGATGTGGAATATAATTGCAGTCTCATGTCAAAGGGTTTAACAAAACATCACAGGAAGAGCCAAATTTCTTCATGTTTAAAAAGGTTCCGTGGTAGTTTAAAGATGCATTTTACATCTCGTGTAACATTTCTTTCTACTTGTACCTCCACTGATAGAAAAATATGGTTCTTTCTATCGAGGAGCATGTAGGCACCTGACTTGTCATCTTTGAATATTTGTTACTTTCTTTAAAAAAAATTCATCAATAGAACACCCCTTTACATTATATAACTGCATTATTCAACACTAGATCATTTGTTTCAAATTCAAAAGAAATATAAATAAATGATGTTTATATAGTGTTTTCAAAAGTGCAATAAAAAGTAAAGCAAATCAGGAATTATATGTGGAGTAGACTTACATAATTTGGAACACAGATTTAAGTGTCAAGTCTTTAAAAACTGCAGTATAATGATGGAGATTCTCCAGCAGAAATAATGAAATTACAATCTCCCATTTAGATTTCTTGGAATTCTACTACATTAACTAAATATTCAAAATCATTTGTTCACCCAAGAAGGAAACTGCATAAATAGCTGTAAAATGTGGAACTGCTGCAATAATGTGCATTATGCTTCAAGATTGGGAGACCGGGACAAAGAGGACTTGTGATATTCTGGCACGCAAAACCAAATGAGTGTTTCTCAGGCTCGGAGTGAGTCCTTCAAAACAGAAATGTAAACGAATGCAGTCGTTCTTCAAATGCAGATCGGCCCATCTTTGACAAGCTAATAGTGGAGTAAAGGCTTTCGAGGGAATTACTGTCTTACGAGATTTAAACTATCCACTAAATATTGAATGAGTGATGTTCTGAAGGTTAGGACAAGTAGACTCCAACCTCACTCCTATTGGGTATTCGCACATCAGATTAAAGCAATGATGTAACAAGTGAGTTCTAATATATAGGTCTATCTATAGAAAGTAATCCTAAGAATGTTTAAGTTCAGAACAAAGCTGTTTGACATAACAAACTAGTCACTTTTTTTCTCTCAAGCTCTCCCTGCCTTATCACAATAATCTTCATTCGCGTTCCCAAAATGTTTCCCAGTTATTTCTTGAACTGATTTCTCCCATTTGCTTCAATTGTTTCCCTAGTAATTTAAGGAATTTATCATAACACTATACACCTAATCCTGTCCAATTTATATTTGAAAAGCATTCAAATCAGAAAATCAGCACAGTTTGCTGTAATTCATTAGAAAATTTGGCACAACGTGGCAAATATATGGCTCAGCCTGCACAGATAAATTTGGACTGATATCTTTAGTCTTGTTTAGTCGGTTGGATTGATAAGAGGAGAAGTACTGCGATTAGGTTAATTGGTTTAGGGGGTTTATAGGTGACATTGCAACATGGCTATAGAGACCCAAGTGTATTAGAACTCTATAAAGATGTCTTGGATCATGTAAAAAATAACTAACCCAAGCCCTAAATATTCTCACTTGCATCATACAGAGTATAGATTTTAAGTGCAGTCTTTTAAAACTGTAACATAATAAAGGTGAGGTTCCAGTTTTTGTACTTGCAAAATACATTCTATGAAAATGTGTTTAGGATTGTAATTCAACTCACTCTGAATAGCAACTCCCTAATTCTGACGAATTAGCTGAAATGTTTAAAATCCCTTGTTTGCTGAAATGGGTTTTGCAGTTCTAAGTGCATTGCTAATCAGATTTAATTACTTATCAATAACAGAATTTTTCCTCAGACTGTCCATTGTTTACATGGGCATTTGCATTCAATATCCAAGATGTACTGAATTGGAGCAGCTAAATGAATAGGTGCTCTCGATGCCGAATCTAGCAGATTGTATCTAGAAAGGTTGGCACGTATCAATTTGAAAATATAAGGATAATGTCTTAACATAGGATAATATCAAGCAGATTAAATGTTAAGAACTACGTTCCACTTCATCTTTTATGTGTTTAAGCAAAGGCCCAAACATAATTTGCTATTGTGTATTTGCACCTTTAAGGGACGAGTACAAAAAGACAAACAAAATTCTAGACTTATTAATGAATTGATCAAGTTAATACTGGGAAGTGGAACTTTTTTTTAAATAAAAAGGTTTGCTGAATTTACCACAACACTTGACTAGGAATGGGGGTAAAAAAAAAAGATTCTGGATTGAATTTGAGAGAATGTAAAAGAAAGCCACTTGTGTTCAGACTTTATCCAGAGACACTGCCTCTGAGGCCACAGAATAACTTGCCTGTTAATGAGCTTTTGCACTCTACATATCCATTTTGAGTAATCAGCAGTTACAGTTCCTCCTTTGCGGTGAAAAACGGCTCTCGTAACTAATCACAGGTGAGAGAATCTCTATTTATGGCCTTATGGCTAAAAATATAAATGCTAAAAACACACAGCAGATCAAACAACATGGGAAAGAAAAATAAGTTAACTTTTGAGTGTGACATTTCATCATGCATTTTAATAAAGTATCGTAGTACCCACAACTATTCAATATTCATCCACATATTCACTGTGGATCCTTGCTTTCATTTGAACTAGTGAGAGCAGAAAGTATTAATGATAAAAATAAGAAGACAGCTGGTTTGGCATTCTGAAAGGATGAAATCAAATAGGTCGAAGGACCTTCTTCATCTGAACCCCTTTATGTGACCTTGTCATTTGGTGATGGTTTTATTCTTCTTGTTGCATGTTGACTTGCTGCATTTTTCCTTCAGTGGCATGGTCGGTGCAGATTGTTCTAACCTTGATTGGCTGCTTACAAGATGAAGTGTAGAAGTTTGCCAGTTATTCTACTGCAGCAGCCTGCTCGGAAACAATACTATTGGGCTGGTCGATGATTGGCAGCTATTGTCCCAGAGCCTTGCTGTTGTCAAGAAACCAAGTTAACTACTGTGCTATTTGTGGGGAGATTAAAATGTCAAAACGGAACCACGTGGCTTATTCAGTGAATGTAGGTCCAGTTCTAGAGATATTTTCAACAGTGCCTCAAGAAATTCCCCACTTGACCATGTGTGCAGCACCGAAAAACAAACGCGAGAATACAAATGCAATTGTTGCTTTGGTGACGAGGGTTTTAAAAAAAAGAACACTAAAAGGGTGAATGCAACAGACGAATGTTCTTTTCGGTTTAATTACGAACCAAATAAATTGAGAATGGGTCAGAGAGATATGAATGAAAGGTAGAGCAGTACTATTGCACCATTTTAGCTTTGCTTCCTTACTGAGGCAAGCTGCACACTCTGTTTTTCTTTCCTAAGGTTTTGTGAGTCTTTCAACTGTGTGAAAATGGTCTGGCATCTCTAAGACAGTGTCAGGCTCACTTAAGTGTTTCTTTTCACGTCCCAGTTCGCCCTTGGCTCTCGTCCATGAGGGAGATTTTAAATGTGCTCCACGAGGAATAGTCAGATGCGTCAGTGGCTGGTTTAGATCTGCAAAAACAAAACGGCAGCAATTAAACCATGATGCAATTATACTTACAGGGTCACCCACTGCCAAAGATGTAGGATAGCTTGACACATCACAACATTAGTTACATAGGGGCATTTATTTATAACATCTAACTTTATTTAGAATGATTAATTCTAAGAAAGAAAAGCCAATTATATATTTTTAGATGTTCAATGAGATGTATTCACTGCATTCTTGGTCAGGAATTAATACGGAGAAGGGAGGATTTTCTACTCTGAGGAAAAGGTTAAATTGTTTTATATATATATATATATATCGATGTGCGTATATTAAAAAAATTTAAGCCATTTTAATGACTTATGGAGTTAAAGATGTGTTCAGCATTAGCCACCTCTGCTGGATACATTGACATAACCACAGTGAAATGTCAAGTTGCCATCGGTGTGGAAATATGCTCTGGCACAGTTCCCAAACAAATGATTGTTCTGTATGGCCGTAAAGCTGGAAGAGAAGCACTTCACAGGATATATTGTAAGGTGTCATGACTGTATTTTGTAGACAAAATTCTTTCTTTTGCTGTGAGTACGTTTTAGTCAATGGTAGTGGGAGAAGAAGATGCTGTGGTGGATTGGGCTGTTGTTGATGGGTGCCCTGATGTCCTCTTTTAATTAATGGTTTTGCAAAATGGTATCAGCCACATTGATTTTGTGTTTTGTGTTCAGTAGTGCCTGTGCATTTTTAAACACTATTGATCAGCTTTCATTTTCAGAGATCTGACCTGCACGATCAGCCAACTATCAATTTAATTGTACAACCCACTGCGGGAGAACAAGTTGTCTTTATCACTCGCTCAGCAAATATTTGTGAGTCTGTCACATTCTGTCCATCAGGGAGAGGGTGAGATGATAAAACACTGGTTGCCCTTTGCCAACATCTTCCAGCAGGATTTATGTGACTTAACACCTGACTCTTTTATTGGGTATAAAAATAATAACAACGGATTCATATCATGCAACACAACCAACCCTATCATTATGTACTTAAAATTACAAACCTGTTTTTTTTTTTAAAAAAACGCATTAGTTCAATCAGGATTCTGCTGACTCTTTAAGATGGTGTTTTATGTACGAGTAGTATCACTTGTCGTGAGTAGTTGGAAGCCATTATTTTGCAGAGCTGGAGTTTTGTAAGGTTGGCGTTTAAACAATTTAACAACATCTTTTACGGTGTCAAATCGTTTGAGGAATTGAGAGGAGTTTGGAGTTTCTACGTTAAGGCTGCTTCTTGCTTACAATGTCTGGCATTGCTATTGAGAATCTCCTGCCAGCCAGATCCGAAAGCAGAGCCATATTGTTTAAGGGTCCAATGGACACATTGTTCAGACTACTTGAATAGAGGTCACTGGTACGAGCTTTAACTACAACAATGACCAATGCTTACAGATGCATTCGTTAAGTTCCGTATCGCCTCTGGTTTTGTAATGAGATTTGTAGGTCCATAAGAAAACGTAAATCAATTTAGATTGATTTAAAATCACTAAATGATGAATAACTATGGTTTGTTCTGTATTCTGCTTGACAGTAAAACACCCTGATGGAAGACTGGCTAGTATCAGATACAATAACTGGATCTGCTTCATAGTCGTTTCAGCTCTTGCCAATACGTGCAGGATGACTTTATCTCGGTGTTACTGACCTGGAGGTGAGTCATGTGGTGGGTTCTCTTCATCCGAGTCAGCAAACACCTCAGCTAGTTCCTGGTCCGACATGTCTGTGAGCTCTGTCAGATCCATTAGATCAAAGTGTACCTCCAGGGATGAGACGCTGCTGAGAGGCTCTGTGGATACAAATCAAACACTTGCAACTTGTATTGCCGCACTTCAATCCCAGATAGACAGAGCCTTGGATCCCTGCAGATGCTGCAAGGGGTGGGGTGCTGTGCTGGCTTTAACTCCATCGTAGAGACCGAGTTAACACAGAACCTTTTATTTGTGAAATTTCTGAACCCTAACCTAATTGGAATATTCATTGCTCCTCAAAGGGTTATCTAACCTTTATGAAGTTAGACCACGCTATCCTACTCCACCGCTTGTCCTCCCACCTCAACCTTCAAGGCACTGTCCTTGAATGGTTTAGCTCTTACCTTTCCCACCGTCTTCACTTCGTCTCAACGAATGGCTTCTCCTCCACCCCCCGTACTGTCTCATGTGGTGTCCCTCAGGGCTCTGTCCTCGGTCCCCTCCTCTTCACCCTCTATATGCTCCCCCTCGGTGACATCATCCGCAAACATGGGGTTAACTTCCACATGTATGCGGATGACACCCAACTCTACCTTTCCTCCTCTACTCTCAACTCCACGACCACCGATGTCCTGACAGCCTGCCTGTCCGACATCGAGTCCTGGACGAGAGACAACTTTCTTCAGCTCAACGTGCGAAAAACCGAGGCCCTCCTGATTGGCTCACGTCAGCGCCTCCGCACCTCAGGCGCTGACACCATCAGCATCCAAGGCTGCACTCTCCACCTCTCAAAGCCAGTCAGGAACCTCGGCGTTTTGTTTGACCCTGAGCTGTCCTTTCTCCCTCACATCCGCACCACAACTGGCACCGCCTTCCATCACCTCCGGAATATCGCCAGATTACGGCACTACCTCACCCCTCACGCTGCTGAAACCCTGGTTCACGCCTTTGTCACCTCAAGGCTGGACTATGGGAACTCTCTCCTCGCCGGCCTTCCCGCCACCTCCCTCCACAAGCTGCAGGTCATTCAGAACTCTGCAGCTCGTGTACTGTCCCGCACCAGGCTTCGGGACCACATCACTCCTACCCTCGCTCGCCTCCACTGGCTCCCCATCCCCCAGAGGATTGATTTCAAGATCCTCATCCTCACCTACAAGGCCATTCACGGCCTTGCTCCCTCCTACCTCTCCAACCTACTATCCCCCTACCTACCTGCCCGTACCCTCCGTTCCTCTGGCTCCGGTCTGCTCCACGTCCCCCGCCCCAACCGCCCTACTATCGGTGGTCGGGCCTTCAGCCTCTCAGCCCCGAGGCTCTGGAACTCCATCCCCCAGTGCCTTCGCCTTGCTTCCTCCCTTTCCTCCTTCAAGGCCGGTCTCAAAACCTTTCTCTTTGACCGAGCCTTCAGCTCCCCTCTCGACTCTCTTCCTCCTCCTCGCTCCCTCCCTTCCCTCCCCTCACCCTGACCATTTCCCCCCTCCTCTCTCCCTCCCTTCCCTCCCCTCACCCTGACCATTTCCCCCCTGCTCGGGTCATGACCCAACTGTGCAGCGCCTTGGGACGTCCTCCTGACGTGAAAGGCGCTCTATAAATGGAATCTTGTTGTTGTTGTTGTTGTTGTAGATATCTTGAAGATATTTAAATTATGTGTTTAAGAGTAAATGTGATGCATACAGGAGGGAGACAGGAATAGAGAATAGGAAAGAGGGAATGGGAGTGTAAATACTGACATGGAGTTGTTGGGCTGAATGACTCTTTTCTGTGTGCTAACGTTATCTATATAATTGTATTAGATGAGCGTTGTGCATCAGTGTGATCGTTATAAAACATCTAAATACAGGGATATAACTTATGCTCAGGTGTGGCCTACGCACTGCATTTTATGGGGAGCAGCTGAGGTAGACTTGAAGTCTTGTAAATAAATCCAAATTGGATGTGCATGCTGGACAATAATGATTAAAAAATTTACTGAAAATTTGTACCAAACGTAACCCAAATTCACAGCACTGTTGGTCGTGGAGAGTATGCAATATGTTGTACATCAGTAATATGGTCCTTGTACATTAGTTTACATTACTGCCATCCCCAACAGTCCTGTAGCTCAGTGGTTAGAGCACTCACTTTGCAAGTGAGAGACCTGAGTTCAATTCCAGGCAGAGGGCGAAACCTTGGGCAAGTTTCCTTACTCCACACAGAGCCTAATAATAATCCCTCCAAAAACCAAATACAATAATAAATTGTTCATTTTCAATCTACGATTGTTTGTGGGACATTGCTGTGCGCAATTGGCTGCCGCGTTCGCCCACAAATATACAGTCAATTCACTTTACAGTGTGTTCTGTGAAGCGCTTTGGGACGTCCTCCCGACGTGAAAAGCGCTATATCAAATGCAAGGATTATTATTATTATTATTATTATTATTAAAGTACAACTGGTAACGCATAATGATAAAACAGGTCTGTCTGGTGATAATCAGTCATGGTTTGATGGAGCATCTGAATGATTTAATTCCTTATCAGTATTCACAAAGGAAATAAGTGCAAAGACAGAAACCAAGACAGCCAACTACGTGACTCTTGGACTTGTGTCTTTTGAAGGTGAATTAAATATTGGGTTTGCATCTCATCCCTGAGAATTTTAAAACATCTCATCGCTGAGAATATTAGAGAGAGAATTAGCAGGTGGATTTGGAGAAAACGTTCATGAGTCTTTTGAGAGGACACCGGACAATTTGATTGAAAAAAAAGCGAGGAATGAATTAGAGAACTTCAGCAGTCAGCTTCACTTCAGTTTAAGAAATGCATTAGGACCAGATTTAAGGAACGTGCTTTAAATTTGATCAATAAAAAAAGGTTTGAATAATATTATAATATAATATTAAAAACGGGATAACAAACTTGCAGATTTAAAGGACGTCCTTAGGATCTCATGGTGTTAATGGTTAAGGCAATACAAAAAACATTTGCTGAGGACTTGGGACAAAAGATTATGTGGTTAAGGCTAAGGTACTGAACTCATTTAAGAAATAGCTTGATGCTGAACTGTCAAAAAAATCCACAGATTTTTTTGGAAAATGTTATTCCGGAAGCATGAGATCAAATGGCTAAATCTACATTGTAGCAATCCATGGGTATGATTCCCTGGGGAGCCAAAAGTTATCTTGCACTACAAACCATTGACAGTTCCTGGAAATCATTTGGAACCATCCAGGATTAGAGGTTAAATTTCTCCTTTCAGTTAATCAACCAACACCAAAATGTAATGGATGCAACAGAATGACTGACTTGATAACATATTAGAGCAGTTAATACATACGCCTCCTCTCCGCCACTTGGAGCAGTCCTGATGTGGAGATTGGGATTCCATCCTCTGCATCCACAAGGGCAAAATGTGATTCTGTAGGAGCTGAATGCCGGCACACTATTGTTTTCTCTGGAGTCCGTCCACTTTTGTCTAGATCTCCTTAATCAGGAAAGTGCGAGTAAAGAGGAAAACATTATTTATAAATTATAAAAACTCTTTCCGCAGGCTGTAAGAAATAGACTGATTGACCAGTGTCTTTGGCATCGCTTTCATTCACAAAATATCATCATTATGCCCCATCTGCAGAATACATCAGGGAACAAGGGCTTATGTAAAATACATCATTGAGCAGTCAGCGTCTGTCTTGAGTGTGAGTTATAATGGTCTATTTAGCCCAAAAGTGGTTTCTGTATTCTTGCATTCTTATAGGCCATCCATCCGAGGCCCAGAAACGATGAGCTCACTTAACACAAGGCATATTTTAAATCCAGGTCACAGGCAATATGGCTGCAAGTGTACTTAATGAGATGCACAGTGAAAGCAGGCTTATTAACTGCCGGGAGAGGTAAGTTCCATCCTAATTATACATGTATGACGTAAAGAGACACCAATACTAGAACAGCACCTCTTTGTCAGACCATGTGAAGTTAATCCTAAAGCGGTCAAAAATAACAGTGTTTGTTTGAAGTTATGCAAAGAGAATTTCACTGTGTCACTGTAGTGACCTGGCCAAAGTCATCAGCCATCAACATTGGGCAGAGCGGATTACAGGGTCAGTGCCACCCTGTCCTTCATTGTGCAAGCCTGGCAGCTGATGTACTCTATTTGAATAACTCATTATTGTAATTGGTCTCAGCAGTAAAAAAAAATTACCTATTAATCGATCTGCTGAGTAAGTTTGGTACGTTTTTTGGTGACTTTTGCAAATTGAAGGCGTGGGCTATATGGTGGAAAAATGCTGGTCTAGCATCATTGAGTGAAAAGGCAACCTTTTCACAGATGTCGAGCAAGAAACACGTGGCTTCAAAAACATTTCCAGCTGATTTATGTTGTGCTTCAAGCAATCAGTTTAGAAAGTTAATGGTGAATACAGCAGACTAGGGAACTCACTATATTAGGAACAAACCATGCTTAAAGGAGAGGTAATATCTGGAAAGACTGCTTTCTATTTAATGAGTCTCTCTTTTAAAATAATCTAACCATAAAATACCTAGTAAGACCTAACCTAGTACTTTATTTCTGCCTTTTTTAAAAAAAAACGTTATTTTAGCCTCTTGAAATCTCAAGCTTGAGAAAGAGATTCACTGACAGAATCTGCTTGGTTACCAAACTGGTAGATTTCATTTTCGGGAGGTCAGAATCTTTCAAAGCTATGGATGACAATAAAATAAATGGAGACACTTCCAGATACACATTAGTAACCTCTACACCACCAGAGACGCTCTACAGAAAAGTCACAAAGGTTTGTGGGACACTGCTGGGTGCAATTGGTGCCACGTTTCTCCCACAAAATATACAGTCAGTTCACTTCACAGTATATTCTGTGAAACGCTATGAGGCACCTCGAAGACGTGATGAGGTGCTAGCGCAAATGCAAGGATTATTATTATTATCCGCCAGGCTGTCAAATTGTCAGTCTCAAAGGCACTATACCAAGTGTAAGCATTATTATTGTTGTTATAAATATTTAGGACTGAGGATTTTAAAAAATAGCAAAATGAAGATGCATAGTATAAAATAAATAATATGTCTGCTAATTCAGTTGAGCATATTAACCTTAGATTTTTCATCTCCTTTAGGAATTCAGTTATTTGCTGTGAAGTGGTTTAAAATTATTTCCAATCTACATAAGTAATAATAAAAGCAATAATAATTGTTATCTAACTGGAAAAGAGTGGTGGGTAATCAGGCTGAGACATGGCTTGTATTTAAATATTATCTCCTCGTCAATCCTGAAAAGGAAACTGGATGTAAGCATGAGGGAGAAGGTAATAGATTGCTGTATGCAAGGGGATTAGGAAGGGACTTATGCGGAGCATCAACAACAGCACAGACAAGTTGAGCCAAATGACTTGTTGCTGTTTTGTAGTCTATGTAAAGCTATACAATTCTATATGATCCTGCATTCACAATGCAATCTCCCACTCTTCCCTCCCTCAACAGAAATCTGCTGTTCCTATCAGCAGGAGTGGCTTTTCCTGATGCGCCTTCACCCCCAGTACAGCCCATTTGAACAAATGGAGATGATATCAGCTACTTTAAAATCAGCCACCCTTGAGATTATTAACGATCAAGGAACCGCGTACATATTCAACGCCTCTGGCTCGTGGACAACAAGACAACCGTAAACATTTTAGAAATCTGTCATGGAAAATTCATTTCCTTGTCTCGGCTCTAATCTTCCTGCCTTGCACATGTAGCAGGTGGCACTGTGCTGCGTGTCGAAAGGTAATACTTAGAACTGCTGCTTTAGATTAAGTACTAAAGCGTTGTTTGTCTGTGTTGGACATTTACCCTTCTATTTTAAGCTCTCCTCCTGCTGGCCCTGGGTCTCTTGACAAAACAGTGTGAAGTGGATGGGTTTAGTGCTGCTGTAATGGTTCTTGCACTTTTAATAGATATAATGTGATGGAGGTATAAATCATATGCAGAGTGTTACTAATGTTGTACTTGACGACCACAATCCCCCCCAAAATATTACTGTTTGAGGGTCACACTCACAAACACTGCAAGTCACAACATCAGAGTGTTATAGGCATGTAGTTGCCCATATTCCTGATTTCAATCAGACCACTGTGCGAAGAAGCTTCCAACTGCCAGGATGAAGGAGGCTGACATGAAGGGTTTAGATCTATACTATAGTAGGGCTAATATTCTGTTATATGGTTCTTTCTTAGTGGTTCTTTCTCTTATTTTCTAATAACAGTGTTTTATCTTCTTCTGACATCGGCGCTTAGACATGACTGACAATAACGACTAGTTTGCGGCTTGTACTTGCTGGGCCTTCTTAAGACAGCATTAGGCTCTGCTTCCTCCCTTTCCTCCTTCAAGACCGGTCTCAAGACCTTTCTCTTTGACCGTGCCTTCAGCTGCTCTCTCAACTCTCTACCCCCTCCTCGCTCCCTCCCTTCCCTCTCCTCACCCTGACCATTTCCCCCCTGCTCGGGTCCTGACCCAACTGTCCAGTGCCTTGGGACGTCCTCCCGACGTAAAAGACGCTCTATAAATGCAATGTTGTTGTTGTTGTTGTTGCTGTGATGCCTCCACAGTCAAATACCTGCCAACACTCATGAAGAACAGTCACGAGGTAACGATCCTGGCACCTGCAGTAACCAGCGTGTTAGCAACCGGGGAGGAGAAAATGATGGAAAACATGGAATCCACAATATTAAAAAAAACATATCCATTAAAAGTGCAAGAACCATTTTCAAACTACATTCAATCTCATGATTTAAAAATCCAAGAATACCCTCGAGATCTCCAGATGACATTCTTTTCAACTGATTCAATGTGAAATAAAGTATGTCTTCTGTCAGGTTCATTCCCATCACAAGCTGTTAAAAATGAGAGATTTAGAACATTCTTCTTCCTGCTTGGGCTTCCTCCAAGATACGTGGGTGTGTCTCCTGGACAATAGTCTTCCATGTTAATCGTTTTTTTTCACCTCAATGCTCCTTGTGGGACTTAGCAGTGTGCAAAGTGGTCCATATTAACAGTCACTACATTTGACAGTAATTATGTAAAGCACTTTGCAGCATTTTAATGTGAGGGATGTAATGAAAGTACACATTATTTTACATGGCAATTCTTGTTCAGGGCAGCTCAGCTGTTTGATCATTGCAATAATCTGGATGAGAGGCTGCTGTGGTATCTGTGGATAGCATATTCTTTGTAGCATGTGCAAGGTAGATTATATCTATAATTATATACGTAGACTATACGCACAGTCGAGTTATACATTGTATGTGGTGTGTTTTTGTGCTGTAAGTGAGTGTGTCTAAGTATGAGGGGTTATGCGTGTGGTTTCATGTTTAATGGGTATGTTTATGTGTGAAGGGTATAGATTTATGTATGGGGAGAAGGGTGGAATATGTGTTTATATGTGGAGAGTAAGATCGCACTCAACAATTCATTGGCGTAACACAATTGCTGTTTCTAAGATTTGCTTCCATCTGGCAGCGACGGTAATTAATGAATCTCCCCGCCAGCAGCTCATTAAATATTGATGGCAGTCTTGGCAAGGAGGGCACAGTGGTACACTGCCGATTGATGACTGCACTAATTGGTGTGAAAGAAAAGGCCAAATAGCATCCTCTCACGTTTCAGTAACGGTCCTCTACTACGAAAGCTCGCTAAGAGATTGCAGTCGAGAGTAGCTGAATTCAAGCATTTTTAAAACTGAAAATAACCCAGTGATAAATTACACAGAAGAGGAAGCAAAAGCAGGTGCAGAATGTTGGAAAGTCAGCAAAAACCCTCCAGTGTGGTTCTGTCATGGGGGCAATTTAATGCCACTCGATCATCAGACGAGACTAATAGATTTGCCTTACTTCAGAAAAGAAACTGGTCTGATTATCTTTAAACTTAAATAAATAAACTGATAATTGGCTCTTTAGGGATAGTTGGCCAAGTTCTAGAAGAGGACATTTGAGGTACTTCATTGTCCATTGAGAGACTGACGTTGGTAAAAGTAAAACAGTGTTTCCTCTGGTGTTTTCTACAAGGAAAGCTTTATATGCACATGTCGATTCATGAGAGACCAGCTTCAAGGAGATATCAAGTCCTTCGAGTCGCTGTGACACTCAGGAGTTTCCATGATATTTCTGTCACAGTGCTGTCTTATTACAAGCATGTTTTGAAGTACTCTCCTGTATGTGGAGACCAGGTAATCTTTAACCTACAGTTATAAACTGATGTTTCGGGGGTACCCTTGACTGGAAAGCAGCAATTGGTTTTGATGGTGTACTGTACATCGCATGAAATGTATGGAGGAGAACAGACCTGCCTTCTGGCTCTTTCCACACAATCGACTACTGAATTATGTTAATTTCCAGGAAATTCCCTAGTTCCATTTTGAAATTCTTCCCAGTTCCTTCCAACACCTGCGCTGGTAGTTCCTTCCACATGACCATCGTGTGTTTACTGATACATGCACTTCGTATTCACTTTTGTTGGCCTTATGCTGAAGATATTTTTCAAGAATTTGGTACAGAACAAAACCTTATCTGTGTTATTACATTTTCTAATTTCAAACATCACTATTGCGCCCAGTGTCTAAATAGCAAACAGATATAATAGTATCAATATGATCCATTTCTTCACACCTCTGTGCTTCTACTTTTTAAACTGAAACGTGCCAGACATCAGTAATAAATTCAGTCTTGAATCTTGGCTAGACTTCACTGACTGCGACTCTGCATGAAAGTGGATGGTTGGGGGAGGGGGAGAGGCTGAGAGCTGACAGTGTGTGTGTTTACTCTGCGACTATATTAGACTGGTTGGATATGCCAAAATAAGGCTTAAAAAGGGGAAATCCAAAAAAGGAAAAAAAATCCTGCTCAAAAATCTCAACCATCACAGCTCGATTTATGTATGCTGCTCTCCATTTAAATGCACAATATGGTGAATATTTCTCAACACTATCTTTGTGCAATTAGTTTTATTTATTTGTTGTCTGAAGAATGTAATGATGAGTAATTTCCCCTTCAGTGTTTAGTGTTAATATCCAAACCTAGACTCAGTTAGGGTTTTTTTTAAAGGTTTTTTTTTGTTCATTTCTCTGTGGGTTAAATGATTCTGAGTTAAAACACTAAACGCCCACTTATTTTATTTGAATTCCTCAAGTATTACCAGCCAGGCAAAATGAATGAAATTGTTTAAAAAAAAAACAGATCCACCCTTAAAAGGACTTTCTGTATCATACTTTTTTCGGAATGCAACACACAAAGCAAATGCAATTGCTAAAAAAAATTGCAGAATTATGACACGATACAGTAGATCATTCCATGTACATTTTCCATAACAATATCCTGAACATATATAATAAATAGTCAAGCCATCTACTGGACGAGAAATACACTTGTAAATAAGTTTACGAAGCAGTGAAGTTAGTGAACATTTAAAAATATAAATTCGAAGATCTGATGCTCAGACAAACACCCAGAAAGACTTCTTGCCTACGAATTTCTGAACACAGATTAAATAACTCAGACAGTTATTGTCTTCCAATTGAATCTCAAAAAAATACATCTTTTTTTAAAATCTTGATTTTTTTTGGGGGGTGGGTTGGGGGGGTCTCAAACAGGGATGATATTTTAATCGACATTTATTTTATTTTAAAGAAAAAAACAATTGATCATTGCAAAACATGCTCACAGGCTGCAGATTTCCGCACACAGAGGGTTAAAATGCTCTCTTTATTAAGATGCTACAGTAACTTACCCTGAGCTGCTACTCCTCCTTGTTTCTCCATCCAGACAGTCTGACTCGATCCCACCTTCTTGCGAGCTGTACACCATCAAGAGGGGGGGAAAAAGGGAGAGAAAGCGATGCAAAGAGCGTAAATAATATATATATATAAAAAAAAGAGAGATGTGATGGTTGAGCTCAAACACCACGCAGCATCAATCTCACTTCACAACCCTCAGCCTTGCACCAGCTCTCACACACACACACACACACACACAAAAAAAACATTGCAATGCAAGCAGATCACATTGCAAATTGGGAGATTACAATGCAAAGTAAGCATTGCATTGCATTGCAAATGAGGATGAGAGAGACTGCAGGAAAGGAAGGCTGTTCTCTGGCAACCAGCCCAGACATCAGCCCAGGGAGCTGGACTTGGGGTGTACCATTCAACCCTCTGCTTCACTCAAATGAGTCATCACCATATAGTCCCCTCTGTTGTATTAAGTCACAAACATTTGCATGGGTTTGTCTGTGCAAAACTCTGTTACGCTGATGCAGGAAGAAAAGAAATAGACAGAGAGGTTTTAAAAGAAAAAAAAATGTGTAAATAATTCAGGTGGACTACACCATCTTTTGTTGCATTGTCCCCTGAGGGTTTTTTTTTAACATGAAACATTGTCCCAGCTTTTTTTTTTGTGTGTGACACAGTTTTTTTTCCTCTAAAAAAAATGTTGTGTTAAACAGAGCGTGTGATGGGTGTGTGGTGAGGTGGGGGGTGGGAGGAGGGTAACTTCTGTTCACAGTTAAAACTGCAAGTCAGACTGGTTGCATTTCGAGCTGGGAGTGAAATATGTTAAAAACATGTTCAGATATTTTCTGGGGCAGAACTGTAATGAGCAAGGCTGAGAGAGGGGGGGGGGGAGATGAGGAGGAGAATGATCATTGAAAAACCTGCACCATTATGTTAGAAGAAACATTTCCTATATTGGTTGTACAGGAGCTTCCATTGTGTTACCTAATTAAAAATAATATATACAGTTATTTCACTTTGCGGTGTATTCTGTGAATCACTTTTAAGACGTCGCCAAACGACGTGATAAGGTGCCATATCAAATGCAAGGATTATTACTATAATTGCCCCCAAATTCTTCTTTCAAAGTGGTCTAAGTAAAGTACAAAAAATAGAAAGAAAGGAAAAGGCAATCTTTTCGGGGCTGAGGGTCTCCCAGGATGGTATTACTCAAGAAAAAGAAACTGTTAATAGTTTAAGCCAAATATCAATAATAATAATAATACATGCATTTGATATAGTGCCCTATCACGTCTTCAACACATTTCAAAGCGCTTCACAGGATACACTGCAAAGTGAATGGCTGTGTATTTTGTGGACAACACATTAACTTAATGTTAAAAGCATCTAAAAGGTAAATGTCAAGGCTACAATTTTCGTTACTGTTGGAAGCACCCTTTGCAATCTAATAGTGTTACTTTGAGGCTATACTGTTATTTCTGGTCAGAATCTCTTAACTCTCTTTCTCTCTTCCTCTCCCTTCGACCCCTCTACCATCACCCCACTAAAAATAGATTGTATTACTGCAGTAGTTTGGTCTTAGGTGCACTTGACGTTTGGTTGCAATACTTTGCAATAATAAGGTTTAATCAAATAAATAGGACCAATGGGTTTGATTGGGTATTATATTATTCTCAGGATGGTTACTTTACATGGGAAACAATGGGAGGGGAAACAAAGAGGAAGTTTTCCAGTGACGTTTACAAACATTTTATGTAGTTATTTTATAAGAATGTTCCAGAGTGTTTTAAATACGCACACTGTGCCACCAAGAGTAGGATATGGTTTGTGCACCCCCTCCACCACCACCAATTCTCCACACTGCATATCCCTGTGTGGCAAAGAGTAAAACATTAAATGGGAACTTTAGGCCAGCCCAGAAGACCCTTCACCCAAACATAAATACTTTGGTTGCAGCTGACTGAGTTGCTCTGGTAACAGTGAATTAAAGCAGATTCAGAGGTTAGCCGTTCAGAAATAGTGAAGAGGCAGGAGATGAGGCCAAGGGTCATGGCTACAGCATTCATTTAAACACAATGGAAAATAGCCATCCCCAGCCTGAAACTCAACAGGGAAACAATAATTCACTGTTTGAACATACCCAAATTTATTCTGTAATTAATTGTCCATCTCCTTAATATATGAGTATGAATTCATTTGTGTGCCCTTTGCGTCCAATGTATATTTTTCGGATGACAAAGTGCAGTTTTTCTTGATGACGTTGACAGGCAGAAATTGAGATATCACATTGTAAGCAAAATGTAGCTTCTCTTTGACCTCAAAACTGCAAGGAATATGAATTGAAAACGTCTAGCATTTGTGTCAAGAATCCCATAGTATCAAAAATCAATTTTGTTTGTCTGTCAGACTGGAAAAAGGAGGTAGAATATATATGAATATCAACTGTGTAATCAATGTTTTTGTTTAATATTTTATACAATGTGAGCAAAAACAACACATTGTACCTGAACATAGCTCTTTATTCAATTTATTCAAAACTCGTGCATCTGAATGTCAAATGGCAGCTTTAATTTTTCGTGTTTATGTCAGGAGCTGTCAGTGTAAATTAATGGTGGGCTGATTATAACCTGGTAGGACGTGTACGAAAATCAGATCAACTGAATGGATACTTTTGACATTTGCATGTCCAATTACTCAGTGAGAAGCAGAAATCCAATTAATAGTGATTAAAAAGTGAAATTTTGAAGTAAAGCCCGAAACTGCTGAAGCTGTTTGATCGGTATCTGAAGGTGAACGTTAGGTAAAAGCGCTCTGAGACTCTACCCTGCGTGGAGGGTGCGATGTAAGTGAGAGTTGTTGTTGCTGTTGTTTTGAGTGTCTGAGTGTTGACGTTTTGGGTGTGAGCTGCCCAGAACCCCCTCTCCACACCCTGTGATCTCCTGCAGGCGTACCACCCATCCCTGCCACTCCCTCTACTCAGCAAACACCAACCTGTTTCTTGTCCCGTTGCCAATCTGCCTCACCCTGGGTGAGGGAGCTTTAAGACATTTTGGCCCCATTCCTGGAATTCCACCCTGCAGTTTCTCTCACTGCCTTAAAGGCCCACCTTAAACCTTAAACAACCTATTTTTTTGACTGCACTTTTGGGCACCCTCTCTCTTAACTCCCTCCCCCATTCCCCGAGAGCCTCTCAGCTGTGTGAAGCAGCTTTGAGGTACCCGCCCATAAGTGAAAGGTGTTATATGAACATAAATTGTTGTTGTGTTTTCATTAGAATTAACATCGTGTGATAAACATCTCTATGTGTGTGTGTGGGGGGGAGGTAACATGAGTCTTGAGAATATGCAACAGTATCAATACATGAAAACTGTGTTAAAGTTATTTAAAATCAGAGCTGAGACTAGATTCAATGTAAGGTCTGAACTTGTTATGGTATCATTGCAGACCCCTATTCTCAAATGATTCACATGAACAGTTCCAAAATATTTAAGAGCCTCGTCATATACTAGAAAAATCGATGCTATAATAAACTTATACATCAAATCACTGGAATAATGGCATATGATAAGAAGAGATGGTAAATAACACAAGTCATTTTTCCCTTTGGTCAGAAAATGTAGTTAATCAAAGCTTTGTGGTTCCTACTCAGGAAGCACACAATACACGCCAGCTGCCCAAATCAACTCTCCACGCCAACAAATGAACATGTCTGCTGGCTCTTCGCTACTGATGTCACAGATGCTGCTCACAAAAGGAAACAAATCCTTGGTACCCGCCATGTCCCTCACACCCACGGTGTAATTCAATGTAATTCAAGTTTTCTGCAACTCCACACAGCGACTTCCTGATCTTGGCCCGACCCATCAGAAGGAAGTGAGAGTATTCTATTTATTTCTTCCCTGAGTGAGTGAATATTGGAGGCTAAGAAATCCTGAGCAATGTTCAACAGTTACGACACAGGGTGGTCCGACCTATGGTTGCTGAGTTCACGATGCCCTATTTGAGAGATGTTTGCGAGCTGCATAAGCAATATATTGTGTTTCCCTTCCAGAAACATAACATTAATGGGTTATAGAAGGAGCGGGTGGGACAGATGGAATGGAGGGAAGAGGCCAGTTGGACCACCCTGAATTACGAAATGGCATCAAAAAGTGGGGAGAAGATACCCATATTCTCTTACGGTGGAGAACGGGGCAAGGAACATGGCTCCCAAATAAAGAGGGAGAAGGGGCGCGGGGGGAGGGCAAGGATATTAAAAACTTCACAATCATTCTCAGCAGCCACAGAAGTTTGCATGTGACATTATTGTTGTTTCCTGCTGCGTCTGTTTTCAAGACACTTAATTAACTTTCTTTACTGGGAATGAATATCACCAGTGTGCAATTTTAGAACTGTATTTCTGACTATGCTCTTTCTCTCTTTTTGCTTCTAAGGATTGTCAAGAATTCAGGTGTGAAGAAGCGGATGTCAGTATCACGAGCGCATAAAACAGTATTATCTGATGTTCCGATGAAAATGTTGCTGTGCGGTGACCCCTACTGTTGTTGTTAGGAGAGCACAGGTTCTGGCTCAGTGGCAGCAGTGCCACGTTCGAGACGCCTCAAAGCGCTTCACAGAATATGCTGTACAGTGGAGTGACTGTGTACGAGTCTGATTCTGGGTTTTTTAAAATTGGATAATTAATTTTTTTAAAATTGGAGTTGAGGTACAGATCAGCCACGATCTAATAGAATGGTGGATCAGGCTCGAGGGGCTGAATGGCCTTCTCCTGTTTCTATATGTGTATATAAATGTATATATATATATATCCCTAATTCTAACCCTAACCTTAATGTGAGGGTGAGGGGTGGGGGGTGAGGAGGGGGGTGAGGGTGAGGAGGAGGGGGGGGTGAGGGGGGGGGGTGAGGGGGGGGTGAGGGGGGCGGGGTGAGGGTGAGGAGGGAGGGGGTGAGTGTGAGGAGGGAGGGGGTGAGTGTGAGGAGGGAGGGGGTGAGTGTGAGGAGGAGGGGGGGGGTGAGGAGGGGGGGGGGTGAGGGGGGGTGAGGGGGGGGAGGAGGAGGGGGGTGAGGGTGAGGAGGAGGGGGGGTGAGGGGGGGTGAGGAGGAGGGGGGAGGAGGGGGGGGGTGAGGAGGGGGGGGGGTGAGGAGGGGGGGGTGAGGAAGGGGGGGTGAGAAGGGGGGGGTGAGGAGGAGGGGGGTGAGGAGAGGGGGGGGTTGAGGAGGGGAGGAGGAGGGGGGTTGAGGAGGGGGTGAGGAGGGGGGGGTGAGAAGGGGGGGTGAGGAGGGGGTGGGGGTCGCTCACGTGACTGAGGGTTGTTGACGTGGTCGCTAGGAGACGGCTCTCGCGAGGTTTCCATGGTGCCGGCGGTAAACACGGAGGCGGCGGCGACAAGATGGTGAGTGTGAGGCCTTGAACCCCTCCCAATCCCCCCTCACTCCCCCCCTCACTCCCCCCTCGCACCCCCTGAACCCCCCCCACACACTCCCCCCCTCACTCCGCCTCGTGTGTTGTTCAGCACAGAGTAGCGTTACCGGGAGGGGAAGGTGTGTGTGTGTGGGGGGGTTCGGGGGGTGAGGCCTGGAGCAGGAGGTCAGGACATGTCCCCCCCCCACCCTCCCCCCCCCCACACCCTCGCCCCCCCCCCCCCCCCCCCCGCCCGCCGGTGTTGAATGGGGCCATCAAACCCGAGGCGGCTCCAGAGTAAAAAAACACTGCAGTCGGAGGAAATGCTCACAGTTGTAAATACACGAGAGGCCGAACAGACACACACCGCAGCCCCGACTGACAGAACAAACAGGTGCTTTGGGGTGTGAGGGGGGAGGGGAGGGGAGGGTGAGGGGAGGAGAGGGTGAGGGGAGGGTGGAGGGAAGGAGAGGAGAGGGAGGGTGGTGGGAGCGTGAGGGGGGAGAGGGTGGTGGAGGGTGGAGGGAGGAGGGAGTGGTGGGGAGAGGGGAGGGGAAGTGGGGGGAGAGGGGAGGGTGGGAGGAGAGGGGAGGTTGGGGGGAGAGGGGAGGGAGGGTGGGGGGGGGAGGGGGAGTGGTGGGGAGGGGGAGGTTGGGGGAGAGGGTGGGGGGAGAGGGGAGGGTGGGGAGGGGAGGTGGTGGGGAGAGGGGGGGGGGGGGAAGCCTGTATCAAACGTAAGGAATATTCATATTGTTATTATAAATACGCTGTAAGGGTTTAGCAGCTTAGACTCTCACCCTCTGGGTACGAGAGTTGTGACTTGATGCCCCCCACCCCCCCCCCCCCATCCCCTCCCCTCCCCCTCGCGCCCCACCCCCCACTTTAAGGTTTCGATGAAATCAAGCGAGCGCCTTCTGCGTCCAAACGAATCTCGTGATCAATCTCGTTTTGAGTTCCGTAGTCCGGGCTGATGTTTCCAGTGCGGTGCTGGAAAAGCTGCTGCGCTGTTAAGGTGCCGTCCTCAAGAGGAGATGTTAAACCGAGGTCCCGCCTGCACGTTCGCAGGTGGATGTGACAGTGGCATTCCAGTTCCTTCAGACCGTACACGTTGACTGTCGGTGATAATCCTGGTCGGGTAAACAATATGACAACTCCACTAGCAATTAAAATACATGTACTTTATCAATCTATATGCTATTTCAGAAGATATTTGCTGTATCACAGTGCCCTGTGTTCCGTTGTATAGAAAATATGAAACAAAAGATTACTGCTCCTTCGAAACAGCATCAGTGATGGTTTTATCTCTCAGAAAAGATGGTAGGTTTCGAGTGGGCGTCCACAGTCCCTAAACTGAGCAATTTCATCAGCCTCGGTTGTTCATGACCAACAACAGCAACAACGAACCCAGAAATCAATGCTTTATGAAAATTTTCCGTTTAACAGGCACCCAAAAAGAAGAAAGGAGGAAAGAAAGCTGGAAAGGCAAAGAAAGGAAAAGCAACAGCAGTCGTCGATGGCATTTCTACGGATGATATGTCTAAAGATCAGGTGAGATTATTTTTTAGTCTTTTGAAAGATCCGCTAATTCACAACTCTCATGTTTCATCTGAAAAGCTAATTGTTCGTTTTCCATTGTCCCACAGTTGGAGGATCACATCACTCGTCTCCGTGAAGAACTTGACCGGGAAAGGGAAGAGCGTAATTACTTTCAGCTTGAGCGGGATAAAATCCACACTTTCTGGGAGATCACAAAGCGGCAGCTAGAGGAGAGTAGATCAGAAGCCCGAAACAAGGACCGAGAGATAGAGGATGCAGAGGAAAGACACCAAGTGGAAATTAAGGTATACTATGTGAACATGACTGATTCAATAAGGTGGTTTGAAAGATCTAGCTTCTCTGAGAAAGTGAAGAAATCTACACTACAGAAACACCCGCCACAGCCTACATACAGTGTGAATCTACTTAATACACAAGCAATCACTTCAATTGAGTTCAGTTGCAGGACTTTCTTTGATTTCTTTGTGATGTTTGGAGTTCTTCTTCTTTCACCCTCACTCCCACAGGTTTATAAACAGAAAGTCAAACACCTCTTGTACGAACATCAGAATAACATCTCGGAGTTGAAGGCAGAGAGCACTGTTTGGATGAAGCTGACACAAAAAGAGCATAGGGATCAGGAAGCAGAGCTTCGGAAGGATACAAGAACCTTAAAGATGGAACTGAAGGAACAAGAGCTCTCTAATCAGAACATGGTGAAAACTTTGGAAATGGTATGTCCAAGCGAGAATAAAAGTGGGGCTGGGTAGCTAGGTATTAGACTCTGAAATGGTGGTCTGGTTTTAGTTTATTGTTAAAATAAAATTCTGCCACTAATTTTTCATTCTCTCCCCACACCTCAATGCCCACACACACTGTCCTGCCAGCTTCTCTTTGCTAAGGAGCGATTCCTTCAATGAACTGTAAACTGATTGTAATATTTTCCAATGGGTATCTTAAAGTTTTAATATTTGGTCTCAGATCAGAATCATTAGATCAAACTGATCAAATTATTTTCTTAAAAACTTGCCTATTGTGTTGTATCCTACAATGGTTGCTAAAAATAACCCTCTTGTTCCACCTTTATGATGGGAAAGGTTGCTATTCACATTTGAGTAGATCCCATTCACCAGTTCTTATTAGATGAGCAAAAAAGTTGTTTACGCTGTTTCTAAACATTGGTTTCATATTCACCAACAGGAAAACAATGAGAACACTTCAAGACTGTGGAATGACTTTGACAAACAAACACGCGGTTAGTCTGGCTTTGGTCTCTGGTTTTAATCTTGGTTGATTTAATGAAGTTTCATTTGATGAAATGTGTGAAATGAAATGCATCCAAAAAATGCCTGTTACAATGTTAAACAGTCCTGGAGTCCTGGAGCTCAGTGGTTATAGCACTCGCTTTGCAAGCGAGAGACCTGAGTTCAATTCCAGACAGGGCGAACCCTTGGGCAAGTTTCCTTACTCCACACTCCTAATAATAATCCCTCCAAAAAACAAAAATAATAATTAAATTGGTCATTTTCAATCTACGACTGTTTGTGGGACATTGCTGTGCGCAATTGGCTGCCGCGTTCGCCCACAAATATACAGTCAACTCACTTTACAGTATATTCTGTGAAGCGCTTTGGGACGTCCTCCCGACGTGAAAAGCGCTGTATCAAATGCAAGAATTATTATTATTATTATAAACTATGCTTGTAGTTCACCGTCGTAAAATATCGCTACATTTTATAATATATAAAATCTGACATTCATCATTTTGCATTCAGGATGTAATCTGATCAATCTTTCTGTCCCTGAACACAAGATTACAAGAGAGAATTGGATGGAGGATGCCCTTCAGCCCATTTGATCTTATCCTTCCAGAATAGCCATCCCAATGCCTTTCTGTTAAAGGCTTAAGCTGTTTGTTTAAATGAGCCCAGTGAACTAACCTCAAACACCTATATTGCCTTTAATACACCCCATATGGAGGAATAAAATGTAACTTATTGACTTTGTTTCTCCCACAAATACACAGTCAATCCACTTTACAGTATATTTTGTGAAATGCTTTGAGACGTCTTAAAGGCGTGATGAGGCGCTATATCAAATGGGAGGTTTATTATTGTTGTTATCATTTGTTGGATCTTTCTTACATTTCGTATTCTTTACATTCCTTTCTTCAGAATATGAGACATCAGTTTAAGTTTTAGGTGAAACATAAATAAAATTATTTAATTTCTTAAGTGAAGAAATTAGAGCTTTTGTTATTTCACTCGCAAAGCAGTGCAAGATTACATTCATTTAGGTTGTCTTTCTGTGAGAAAGTCTTTGAACACTTTGTACTTTCTCCGCACTCAGATATTGAGGCCAAATATCAGAAGAAGATGGATGTGTTGCGGGAGGAGCTGGAGTTGAAGAGAAAAACAGAAATTCATGAAATTGAAGAAAGAAAGAATGGTCAAATCAATGCACTGATGAAGAGCCATGAAACAGCCTTCAACGATATCAAAAATTACTACAATGATATTACACTCAACAACCTTGCCCTCATTAACTCACTGAAGGTCAGGCTGTTCCTTATTGTTATATATATAGTAATAAATTTGGACTGTTTTCATTCTGGGCTTTGGTGGCAGCTTCATAGCTTAAACCTATTCCGCAAATCATCAATCTCATGAAACGACCTTATGCAGAAGCAGTATTTTCAGTGCCTGTTTTTTTGACAAGGTTAAAACATAAATGTTGGAGCAGAAAAGCTGAAGCTTTACTTAATATTGCTGAAATAACCCGTAAGTACTTCACTTCAGATCAGAATCTAGTGAAAAAAAGACACCGAATATTGGCTTTGTGGTACCTGGGAGCTTACACAAAACACCAAAATTGGAGCTTTGGGTTTACAAACATTATTCAAGAGCAGATGTGTGATTGGTTCCTTAGTAATATTTTGAAAAAGCCAGTCCTATGGTCCCAAGCATCTAATGAAAAATGAAGCTTTGAATGAACCTCGGGGAGCGAGTCCAGTATGTTATGTACTGTAAAGCTGCTAATCCTACTCCTACAGGAACACCCTGACCACATGATGTCAGAGCAGGTCTTCATTGCCAATTCTCCTCCGTCTATTCTGCTTGTTGGAATTCACTTGATGTCTAAAATTGCAGCAGTTCGCTGCCAAATGGACTGCATAAGCTCAACATTAAATATGTTACCATATTATTAGTTGGTTAGTGCCTGCTCAGTTCTTTTATTGACTCAAAACCATAATTAGTATTTCTTCCTCCCCAGGAACAAGTGGAAGAGATGAAGAGAAAAGAAGAACGACTAGAGAAGGAAATGGCTGAGGTTCTGCTTCAGAACAAACGTCTGACAGAACCTCTGCACAAGGCACGGGACGAGGTGACAGAACTTCGCAAACAGCTGGCCAGTTATGAGCAGGATAAAGGTTTCCTTGCTGTAAGTTTCTTACCACCTTACGGACAAACCATCTGATCTTTTTGCTATACTTGAGTGTCCAGAATAGGCATTGACATTAGTCCATTCTTTCTTAAAGCACTGGTCCCATCACTCCTCCCTGCTAAATCTCTGTGTGTCTGTGCTTTTCCGGTTTCACTGCTATCTGTCCCAGCATTGTCCTTCTGTCTCCTCTAATGGCTTCTCCTCCTACCTCTGCATGGCCGACCCTTCTTCTCTGCTTTCAAAAGCTAAAAACTATCTCTTTAACTAATGTGCCCCCCCCCCCACCCCATCTCCCTCCCTATCTGCCTCCCAGTTCAATCTTGGTAAAGAATCTGATATATGTGTCTTGTCAGCTGTACAAGGCGTGATATTGCTAACTAATTTTAGAGAAATCTGCTGTCTGTGTGGTCCATCTTGCTGCACATGAAAGGAAAAGGTCAATGTGATGAGACTGAAGGTAGTTTGATTGATTTTTACACAGAGAGCCAAGGCACGACTGAAAGTAATGGACAACGAATTGAGGGAGTTCAGATGGCAGCATGAAGTGCTGGAGCAGCGCTTTTGCAGTGTACGTGAGAAACAAACCCAAACTACAAACGGGGAAAGCACCGAATTGGATCAGTTAAAATCACTTGTTCAATTGCTGTATGGGAGACACAGGCAGACACAATAGCTAACAATGACTGAAAAACAAAATATAACCTCAAATGTATACTTTTGTTAAGGATTAAATTCACCATCGGCGGTCGGGCCTTCAGACTCTCTGCCCCCCCACCCTCTGGAACTCCATCCCACATTCCCTTCGCCTCGCTCCCCCCCTTGCCTCCTTCAAGGCACGCCTCAAGACCCTCCTTTTCGACCATGCCTTCGGCTACCCTCTCTGCCCTACACCCTCCCTGATCCCACTCGCCCGGGTCCTAATCCCTGACTGTTCAGCGCCTTGGGACATGACATCCTCCCGATGTGAAAGGCGCTTTGCAAATGTAATTTTGTATCGTAAATCAATACCACATTCAGATCAACTCACTAAAACTGTTTTTGGTGAAAATTGCTTTTCACAGTCTATGCAGCTGATGGAAATACCAATAGCAACGACACAGCAAATTACACTCGCATAGCCGCCTTTCACGTTGGGAGGACATCCCAAGGCACTGGACAGTCAGGGATTAGGACTCGAGCAGGGAGTTGGAATTTGGAGCGGTGGAGGGCAGGGAGAGTAGTGGTAGGAGTGTGATCAAAGGTGCAGTCGAAATGGCATTAATAGTACTGTTGTCGGAGTCTTGTTCCTTTCTAGTTTTCACACGCTTGTTACTAATGTTATTCCCCGGTGTCTTACACATTCAGGTTCAGAGAGAGCGTGATGAGCTGTACAATAAATTTGTGAAAGCCATTCAGGAGGTTCAGCAGAAGTCTGGTTTTAAGAACGTTCTCCTTGAGCAGAAGCTCTGCACGCTGTCCGACTGCCTGGAGAAGAAGGAAGCACAACTGAACGAGGTCCTCGCGGCTTCCAACCTGGACCCGACTGCACTCACCGTCGTCACCCGCAAACTGGAGGTTGGTATTGGCACGTCCTCCTACTTTGACGTGAATGGTACTATACAAATTTAATTTGTTGTTGGCACAGCTGACTGACACTATGCAGGTTGAATGGTGTGCAGAAATCTTATGTTAGTTACTCCTTACAAAATTTTGAGTCTATCTTTACAATTAAATTGCAGTTATAAAAGGCACAAATTGCTACACATTTATGTGCTAGAAAACACCAAACGATAGTGTTTTTTTAGATTTACTGTGAGTAAGGTGAAGCTTCTTATTTTGCTGCTAACATTTTACATGCCCTTTCCAATGAAGATCTAGGAATCCCTTTCCTATTGCTTCCACCAGAGGGCACTTTGTATAGGGTCTGGACTGATGTGCCATTCACACTGTGTCTGAATGTGGTGTTTGGCAATATAATTTGTATCCCACAAGTTAGCTGAACAAGTTTGGTAACTCCTAAACAACAAAGCAGATTTTTTACAATTGAAAACAACAACAACAAAATGACATTTGTATAATGCCTTTCACGTCAGGTGGACGTCCCAAGGCACTGGAACTCAGGCCTGCATCGTTAATATAAGACTCCCTATTATATTCGAGTGCAATAGAACCAGAACGTAGTAGTTTCACCACAAATCTTATGAATTATGTAAACTTTTTTGCTCACAATGGATTGAGTAAATAAATAATGTTCTGATGTGTTTGAATGTTAAGAAATTAATACAATGTAAATCCCTACCCAGGTTACCACTGATGTCCATCAGCAGCCAACAGAAATTCTGAATCTATTTCTGGAAAACACATGAAATTTATTACCTTTTCAGAATGTAGTGATTCTTTAATTAATGTTTTTTGTCATTACATTTTTAGGATGTCCTGGATTCCAAGAATAATGTTATCAAGGATCTACAGTATGAGCTGGCCCGAGTTTGTAAGGTGAGACAATCAGGGTAAAGTTGAAAGTGTTGGAAATAAAAGTGCATTAGTCACTGGTGCTTATTGGCTTTTTCAGACAGCAGAAAGGTTTGGAGCCAGGAAACAAAACCATTTGTGGTTTACAATCAACTACATTCCTCAACATGACGCAAGCGCACTTGTTTGAATCTTCCTGATAGTGCTGTAGGAATCCAACCTAATTCGAGTTCAAGTTTCGCCCCCAAAATATATAGTCAATTCACTTAACAGTATATTCTGTAAAGCACTTTGAGAGGTCTCAAAGATGTGATAAAGCGCTATATCAAATGCAAGGATCATTATTATTATTGTAAATGGCTCTGATACCGAAGAATATAAAGGAATATAAAACTACGGGAAATGAAAGTAAGTTTTGATGGAAAAGAATATAGTTATCGTTCACTCTTCAAGTACATTTCAGATTGTTGTTGTGAATTTCTCTAATTTAAGTTTGACATTCATTCCTCTCTCCTTTGCACACAGGCTCACAATGATTTACTACGAACGTACGAGGCAAAACTTACTACATTTGGAGTTCCATTGGATGAGCTTGGATTCAAACCATTGGAAACTGCTTTGTGTGGACAGATCCTTGGCCAGGGTCCAGCTGGGTTGGTTGCTGCTCCAACATGAACCAAAGAGTACCTTGAGCAATGACGCCTGTAACACTAAATTATTTCTCTTTGGAAACACTGACTACACTGTATTTGGTAATAATACTAAATTCCACCAACATCAATCACTACTGTATTTTCAAGAAATATCTTCATTGCAGACTCACACGTCTGTAAATACTGGATGGTCATGAGAAATTGCAGTACCTTTTTTAAATAAATAAATTAACAGAAATTACTTTCAAAACCAATTCTTATGCAATAATCCTAGTCGGATTTCAATGCATTCATCTACCACTGTGTTCCCCTCCCCACCAAAAATATATAAATCTCCCAGAGTTTTTTTTGCAAAGGAAACCACGTTCTGATGCTAGCTACTCCTTACACTTGTGAATGCAGGAAGGGTTTAATTTCATTGAATGTTGTTAGGTTTACTAGAGTTTGTCCTGTAAATATGTGAATGTTTACAAAAATCTCTGCAGACCCAGTGTGTGTGTGCCTTAAGTTTTCATATAAGTATTTACTGTCTTTGAAGTTTTGCAGTAATATTTCATCAACACAAACACAATTTATACTCATTTATTCCAGGTGATTTTAATGTTCTATGAATTTTGATTCTATTATTTTCACTGTGACAGGCATTCAGAATGCCACTGCACAGTTGGCGTGCGAAAGAAACAAACACTTTCAAAGCTCTTTTATGCCTCAATAGATTACTAATTGGAATAGTTTGCAGTTTTAACTGTATTTTAAGTTTTTTTTACTAAACAGACCAAATATAACATCTATTGCATAAAGAAAGAGGTCAGTCATACTGGTATCACACTGACCACAATTCTTTGAACTTTGCCACCTAAAGAGTGGGTAAAAATGAACTAGAAATTATTCACATGTTGAGAATAGAAAGAAGCAGTGTCCTGGGAACTGCATCAATTGTATGAATCAACTGACTTTTTTGCAAGTAATTGGTTAAATTGAGAAATTGCAGTGACGCAAGCAGATTAATATCTCTTGGGCAGAGGATGTGGGCCTTTGGTATCTGCTATCCTGGAATGAATCCTTAGCATAGGTATCCTTCCCCCCCCCCACCTTTTGTAAATCACTCTTCCTGATGCTGTTGTACTAATGGAGTTTCAAGCATTCTTAAGAACTAATGACCTTTTAATGAGTAAACTAACCAGTAAACTTAATAGCATCAGTAATGGAGCTAAAGCAAATGGAATTAACTGCTTAAAAAAACATTAAGTTGCTGCATTTCAACAAAGTGCACAACTCTATTGAAAATGAAATTCATTGTAACAATGCACAAGAGGATCTATCAGTACAAATCAAGAAGTTCTGTGGATTTTACATGATCCATTAAGTGACGTTTTCTTTTTATCCAAATGGTTATCTTGGAAATTACATTGCACAGAATATTTGCAAGATTTTTCATGTTCTCACTTATTCAGTAACCATACAGTAGTGTGCTTCGATCATTACTAAACCAACGGCGTGTGCTCTGTGTCTGCAAATTTTTTTACTCCCTCACATCCACGTGCTAAGAAAAAAAATGGTGCTTTGTGTAGGAGCCAATTTGAAATCTTTTCCTTCTGAACGATTCAGCTTCAGTAGAAATGATTGATTACTTCCTTCAGAACAAGAGAGGGTATGTACAAAACACAAAATACTGCAGATGCTGGAAATCTGAAACAAAAACAGAAGTCGGTGGGAACGCTCAGAGGGTCAGGCAGCCTGACCTACTGAGTGTCCCCAATGACTTCTGTTTTTATTTAAGAGCGGGTTTGACTTGTTTTATTAATGTACTGATTTTTAAAATATTTGGGGTTCATTCAGTGAAATGGTGACAAGACGTTGACCCGATATGATGCCTGAATAATAAACAACCTTCCCAATATAAGCTAAACGGCTTACAGAGCAAAATGAGTGCAAGATCACTGAAGCAGCGTAACTGCCATGTGTTTTTTTTTAAATGGGAGAGATATGGCCATGCCATAAATAAGTGTGTTGTCAGGATATCTGAAACTTTTATTTTAATATGTTCAGCATTTCACATCAATAGATTTAGCCATCGCCCTACCAATCTCTACAGTGACAGATCAAATGAACTCTCGAGATGGACTTGAATGCAGTTTTGCATCTAATAGCATGCACGCACACCTCAAAATCCGAAATAGTATATTCACCCTTTTCCCAAGCAAAACAAATCAATCAAACAAAATAATCAATAAAAGGACAATCGCATGTGATATAACCAACATGCTACCAAATTATTACAAGAGAAAAACACGTTTGAGTTAACCTTGAACACCTTTAATTATTGTAATTATTGCAATAAAATTTCACACCAGTGGAGATTTTTTTTAATCAAGATAGAATACTATAAAAAGGATTTATGACTACCCTGAATTTTACTGAAACGCATACTGAACACAGCAGGACGGGGTTACAGACAATGTAATGTTATAGCAACGTAACCAGGTGAGTCCACTGGCACTGATCCAGGCAGTTATGATCCTCGATAGGTTGTGTATGAGAAGGGACTCAGGAGTAAAGCAATGTGGTACTTCTGACTCACATCGGAGATGTTGAAGACAATCTGAGGGAACACAATGGAAGAGACGAAAAGCTATAAACTCAAGGTCATATGGACTCATGGTCTCGCTGGTTTTGTTAATACTCCTGGACATATCTCACTGGTACCTCTCTGCAACATAGCATTTCATTAGATGTTATGATGATTCAAAGGCGATAACTCCACAATCCCTTAAGTAATCCAAATAGATCAATAACATCATCATGAGGATTCAGATTTTACTGCTCTTGATTCTCAGGACAGTTCTGCAGATTGGAACATGGGAAATATTGATAACTTAGGAACTAGATCATAGAAGACAAGGCCTCTACACAATATTAATTCTTCCTCTGCTGAAGAGAGTGAATTTGCTGAGTACAATTCCATACGTGATGGTATTATTATTATCTTCTAATGCAAGAAAACCATTAACTATTAGTGATAGTTTCGCAGGGCGAAACCTTGGGCAAGTTTCCTTACTCCACACACCTAATAATAATCCCTCCAAAAACCAAAAACAATAATAAATTGGTAATTTTCAATCTACGACTGTTTGTGGGACATTGCTGTGCGCAATTGGCTGCCGCGTTCGCCCACAAATATACAGTCAATTCACTTTACAGTGTGTGCTGTGAAGCGCTTTGGGACGTCCTCCCGACGTGAAAAGCGCTATATCAAATGCAAGGGTTATTATTATTATAAACGTCAGTATCCAATATTGCAGGATCTGTGTGTGAATTACCTTCAAGCCCATGAAACTTTAACTAATCAGAGTGTGTATCTTGTCTCGTACCTGTACATAAGGGTAGAAGCTACTCTGCTGTAAAGATTGCCAGTAATCTCCCGTTTCAAATTGCATTTTATATGTCCCAGCGCTGAACGTCTGTGGTGTGAAGAGTCCGGGGCACCTGCCATCTGAGTTTGTGATCCTGCAGACACAGAAATGCAGTGAATTTACCATTCACACAGTAAGATTTTTTTAAAAATATTTTCGAGCAGAAAAATGTCCCAGTTTTTGAAAGGGTAAGGAACAGGAAGGGTCTAATCAGACCATTAAGCCTGTTCTGACAGTTAATTAAACATTGGCAAGTCTTTTAATCCTAGTTGAGACATCTCAAAGCACTTCACGGAATATTACTGTAAAGTGAATTGACAGTATATTTTGTGGGCAAAATGCGGCAGCCAATTGTGCACAGCAGTGGCCCACAAACAGTCACAGATTGAGTGACCGCACTACTACCATCAATTTTTCTTTGAAGGGATTTATTACCCCCGGAAAAGCGATCCATCAATCGACTAACAACCGGGTTCCCATTTACTGCTGGGTTCATGGTTTAATAATGTGACATACCCTTTGGCAACCTCGGTCCATCCCTGACTCTCCAACCTGGAAATGCTGATAGCCACACTAGCTGCTGGGACACCCTGAGCTGTGTTCAGTATGTGGGTAGTTAGAGGGCTGGTAGGCATACTGCAGGCTGCTGAATCTTTACCCTATTAGAGAAGATACAATTTCATATGTTTCAGCTAAGATAAAGTAAGATAAAGCGAAATCTGCTGCTGCAATCTCATAATAATAAAGTCTCTTCCATCCTGTCTCAAAGCTTAATTTCCAAACATATGAGTGAGGGAATGGGTTACACAGCATTTACATCGTTGTGTCGTTTCCCGTCCCTCTTTTTTCTGTGGTTCGTACAGAAATCGTGAGTTGCAGCTTACGTTGCAAGACTGATTCTGAAGGTACAGCAAGCAACAAGTTGTGTTTCATTTTCAAGACTGGAACAAAAACGATCTACCTGCTCGATTAACGACTTGCAAATGTCTGCAATCGCTCCCGTTTGGGGAGTTTGAAAGGTGAAAAGGTGCGCATAAGGTCATTTATTTTAACTCAAATCCAGGACAGGTGGTGTGGGTGAGAGGGGTTCCTTGGATCAAGCAGCAGCAATATTGCACACTGAAATGTATTTATTACTAATATTAAATATAAGCATCAAAAAGGGTATGTGCTTGCAAGAAAGATTTCGTCTTCCAAACTCAAATCCTCCAAACTGTTGATCGTCCTCTTCTTATGTTTATAACATAACGCAAACTAACCAGACCCCAACCTCAGGGCACCTCTGCCACGAGTTGTGTGAAGCCCACGATTGGGGGACATTTAAACTTCACTTCAAAGTGCGGCTCCTCTGTAATCCCCTGTCCATGGCAACGTCACCTCCACCAGCAAAGTGAAACAGCACAGTTTTACTCTGTTTTCTTTTTTTTTAAATTCCGCGAGGTTTTTGTGTTGGTTTCTAAAAAGGAGACTGTTGTTTTTAAAGTGAGATCCAGAGTAAAACTCTGCTGAAGTTGCTGCTCTGCCCAGGTTACCACACACACACACACCACTACACACACAGAGATAACAGCTGGAAAAACAGTAGAGATACTGCCTTTGTCCTCACCCTCACACCCCATTAGGAAACACAGCAAAGGTAGTGTTTCTCCTTTTGCTCTCCAATGTCACTGTTGCATGTGCCACACAGGTGGCGTACAACAACAACTACAACATAACAACAACTGGGCAAGTGATCAGAAAACATCAGTGGGCACTTTGAGAAGGAGGGGGGGGGGGGGGGGGGGGGGGGAAGGAAAAGTCCAGCTCCCATGGACTTCTTGTTGGATTTTTTTTAAAAACGTGTTGTGCTATCAAGAGTAAAGGGTCGTTGTACCAGTGTATCTCAATATGGGAATGTAATTATAAAGATATTGGTTCCATACTTCCCTATTCTAAAACTCAGAAAAGCAATTATCAATTTAATCCGACTACCCAGAAAAGAGAACGTGAAAGAAAAACAAACTTACAAAGCACTTTCCATCTGATGGAAGTTAATTTAAAATGCACTATGTTGTGTATGCATCATGTTACTTTTTCAAGCATTTAAACCAACCCATCAGAAAAATATAATGGGTTTCTATAAAATATAAAATGCTCGGAAATTGGTCATTATTAAAGGAAACCGTATATGAGGCAAACCAGGGGGAGTGTAAAATGCAGGAATCCAAACCACTAAAGGATCAGTCATTAACCCTTTTAGCCCCACCATCAGCAGTCAGGCCTTCAGCCCCTCTGCCCCCACCCTTTATCCCACAGTCCCTTCGCCTCGCTCCCTCCCATGCCTCCTTCAAAGCCCATCTCAAGACCATGCCTTCTCTAACCCTCCTTACTCCTACCCACCCCTTGCCCTCCTGATTCCAACCACAGCTCAGGTATACACCCTTTACTGTCCAGCGCCTTGTAACATCCTCCCTACGTGAAGGGCGCTATCTGTACTAATGCCACATGTTGTAGTTATTGTTGTCCAGTCACAAAACTCCACAAATGTCATTTGCATCCAGCAATTCTCACCTTCACTGTGAGAAAATGATCCTGGACCCGCTGAAGCCTCCTTATGCTCATCAAGTTGTCCCTGAGATCCACTCTGCTCAGATGTGGCTGAGTTTCAACACATCAAGTGCAGATTGAGGAGAGACGAGGAATGTCAGGTTTTCTTTGCAGAGCTAAGCTCCCCCACTGACCTTGGTGCTTTGGCGTCATGTTTGTCTATTTCACAATGTCAGTTTCTGTCAATACACAAGTCCCAGCAGCTGCTGAGCCCCACATATTGGTAAACATTTGATTTTTTTTCCAGCGAAAAGGTAAACCTGAGATTGCTTTTCCAGGTTAAAAAAAATACTCAAGAGGCGGTGAAGAGGGAGGGGATTTTGACCAGAATTTTAGTCTAGCTACAAACACATGATCAATACTCAACCACAATGACCTGTGAGGCACTTTATGCAGTTTAATGTTATGGGCCTTGTGACAAACAAAAGATCATGATTGTAACCTGTTTGTTTGGAAAAACCAATGATCTTCTTTATAGCTCGATCCAACTGATTGAATTCAACTACTTGATTAGCTCAAGGAAGGTCTGAGCACAACCCAAAGATCCCTATCCCCAGTTTGATTGTAAATTACAGAGGAAGCCTCGATTTATTGCAGAAATTAACATTTTTTTGCAAGGGGCGTCTGACTAACTACCCTCCCTGTCAATCCAAATAGTTTGTGAAATACCCGTTGTGCTTAATGTAGCCACGCCTGTAATCATTATCCCCAGCAGTGGGTCTGGCAGTACGTAAAAGCCTGCAATTCTTGAGCAGCTGATGAGACAGAAGAGAGGGTCTGATCAGAGGCACTGTCTGCTATTCGCTCACGACAGGTAAATGCTAGGAGCCGACCACACCTAGGTTTGGTACCTTAAGCAGCAGTTATCACAGTGGGGTGTTTGCAAGAATAGATACCAATGATGTCATACCTAAAATAGAGGTTCCCAGATTGTATCTTAGTTGGAATATTTCATTAAATACCCTGGGAGGACAAAGAAAACAATTTATGGCTGATTTATAGTGCTGGGGTCTTCCATCAGTGGGGAGATTCGGAATGGGCTGAGTGTTCGATTTCTTAAATTTCATCTCCAGGTCTAAAAGTTGCTCCAATAAACGTGGTATAACAAACCACATCCATGCCCCTCTATTAGTCCATGAGGGGAAAGGGTTTCACCAAATAACCTCATCTCATTCCATCAGGTCCCAGGGTGCAGTAGACTTAGATCCAACTAGATTGTGAAGCGCTTTGTAACATTTCAATGTTATAAGGTGGTGTGACACACTGATTCGTGTTATATTATTATTAACAGCACAGAGGGTTTGCAGTGATCTATCTCTACTCTCTCTCACAATGCTCCAGACACTGGATATCCAGACCCACATTCCAGAGAAGACAAAGCATGTCAATTACTTCTAAAACTGTCGATCCATAAGGGGTTAATTGTTCGTTCAATGTGCCTCGGGCAGAATTGAGTGTTTGTAACTCGGGAGAAGCTTCAGAATTCAGTTAACAATGGAAAATTTCAGAAGTTCCAAAGGAAAATCCTTGTTAATGGCTGCAGATCACTGCATTTGTGTCAACTCTGTCCTCGCATCAATCTCCTGAAACTTCATCATGGTTTGCTGAAACATTAGATGATCTCCTTTAGAAAACTTGAGCAAGAATCATTTTGAGCTTTTTAACCTTAGACATTCATACTATACTGTTCCAATCCCTTTTGGGGGTTGGCAAATTAGGGAATACTTTGTGTAAAATGAGTATTGTAATTATCTTAAATTCCCACCCTCTCCAGTAATAATGGCAAACAATGAACTAAAATCCAATTCGAATTGATGCCCATTGTTTGAACTCATCTGAATTCATCAAATTAGTTAATTTCTACTTGACAATAGCCTTCTGTAGCTTTGTAGCACATCTCCAGATGTGCATCATGGGATTTCCTGTTCTCAACATGGTACTAAAGGTCCGTAAACTTACTGACAGTAACCCCTTGCTCTATGTTGAAAGCATTGCTAGCAGAGGGGTGGGACAATTATTGAAGACCTTCTAGTTAGTATTTGCAGGAAAGCACAAGTAGTTGTGCGCTTCCATCAATCACGAGGCATGTCAACCATCTCCTCGGAAGCTCGGGATAAAACAATGCACTCCTATCATCAAAAATCCACTTCCTTATCTTTTGTGGAAGATAATACAAAATGAAGAGTGAAGATTAATTACCTGGTACACATGCTCTGCTTTGACCATGAACTCTGATGTACAGGACACAGCTGTTGCAGTCTCTGACCTTCTCTACCATCACAGCAAAGCATTACTCTTGAGTGTCTATGTCCAGTGTCAATCTGGAGAGGTTGCAGAATGCCTACAATAATGTAAAGCGGTCTAAATAATTAACTCAATAATATTTCCAAGTCTTGTAAAGTGTTGAATGGTACAGGTTGTTCACTGGTATCTCACCCTTGCTGAAATCAACTGGCTCAGCACAGGCCAGCGATTGAATCTGGAACCTTTATGATCTGTATACCTCAGGAACTCAGAACACAACATTCCTCTGTGAGAGACCTATAAGTTAATATTTAATTATTATTGGCTGGGGAAAAAAATCATTGAATCGTTTCACCTCCATAGTAGATCATTTATAGCCAGGCTGCAACTTCAAATGTAGGAACAGTAACTGAACTTGCCCCGCATAATAAAAAATATAAACATTAGTCACACAGAAAACAAGAGCGCGCCGAATCTCCGAAGTGACCTTGGCTCTGGACACATTTTGGCTGGCAGCCAAATAATCCAGCTCCATTCTGAAGCTGGAGTTGGCCTTCTGCATCTTTATATTGGAAAATGAACACACAAGGGAATTTGGAACCTTTCTGAAGCTCTGCCTATTAAGCAAGAAGTGGGGTGACCACAATCTTCCACTCAACATGTCTGCCCCACTCAGATAGATACCTGCCGATCTTTCGGTAACTGTATGGCATAGAGGGAGGGTTGTAGCATTGAAATAGGGGGGAGGGCGAACTAACCAGATATCGGTTCTGGTCCCAGGAGTGCCCACCCAGTTCTTCTGCCTGAAGGAAAACAAAAGCTTAGGGCTCAAATATGTCTGGGAACAAAAAACAGTGTGCAATTTCTCACTCAATTTCTGTAAAAAAATCAAACCATTTCTGTTGCAGGATTGCAGTGGATGTTTGAATAAGATTATTACCATCTGCAGAATCATGCACCGCTCATGTGATCCGGAGTTGATCACAAGAGGCACCGTATCTTTCTGTGATCATTCATGCGTATTCCTTTGAAGACTCTTGACTCTTAAAGCTTTCTTTGTAACTGATCGCTGTGGGCGTTTGATTTTGCCTTCACGGTTTCTTGTCCAGTACTGAATTGGTGCTCATTTTATAAATACATAGACCATGTTTTTTCCCCACAGTCCTACTAAAAAGTAAATAATCCCACGATGACATGGCACAGGTTTCAGAAAAAANTAATTTCAGAATAAAATTGCAGCCCACTGTTCAACGCCTAGACTCGCACCCCCATGAACCAATTCCCAGAATGTTAAGAGGTTTCAGAAGAGTAGAGAAATCAAATAATACCTATTTACAGTGTAAGCCATATGATCTAGGCAGCATTGGTAATGTTATACTGTATTAGACATGCAAGGAGAACGACACTCTGGTGCTGTATTTAGCATCTCATTTCCTCATCACCATCTTTCTTACACATGCACCTACTTCTTATGGTCTCTGCAATGCTGTATACGACACTGAACACAACCTTCAATAACAGGGTTCTGTGTAAAGTTCAGAAGATCACTTTGTAGTGTATCAGTCTGTAGGACTCAAAGCACAGCATTCTGTATACCTGAAACTACACCAGTCACCTGAGGTTAAATTGTCAATCAAAAGTTTAAAATCACATTATATTTTACAATAATTGATTTTATATATAACTTTATATCTTTCCGAGATGCTATATAAGATACTGACTCAGTCTTTATTCACATCCATATACTGCTGAATTAGGCTCTCATGGTTTGCGATATCTGAATTGCTCAATTAAAATAGTTGTTTTGTAAATGATTGCCAGCTGGGTGTCCTCCTGAATGTAGATTAGTTGTCTCCAGTATTATGACAGCAACTTGGAAAATGACCAGATTTAGTGCCTAACTGTGTACATTTTCCAGTCTAACTTTGCAGAGTTCTTTTTCTGAACCCAATACCGAATTATTTCAATTGTACTAGGCGTTTGTGTCCTTTAGAAAATGTTTTGGAAGGAGCATTGGATCTTTTCCTTCTTTTTTGCAGTGATAGTTGAACATCTGAAAGATGGATTTTGGAAAATCTGAATGTTTGGAAAAATCAAGGCAAACATGTCAGGGACACGTTGTCACATGCACTTTTTCCTTTGCTGGGAAAGCAGTATATATATATATATATATATATACACGTATTTTCATCCGACACATGTTTGCCAGTAAATGTTGCAGCATTAAATTAATGAAGCTTATACTGTCTCTGGTGGTTATTGTGAACTATAATTTTAATGTGAATTGATTTTTTTAGAATGGGATATCTAATGTATTTCAATAAATAAATTATAAAACATTAAAAGTTAATATACAAGGTGAAGGAAGCATCACACATTTTAACTGATGCTTTTGTATACATTTTGCTATTTTAAAACTGCTCTAACCTTGGCAAGTACTGAGCATTATCAAGCAATTCTTTGGTCTTAATTAACAGTCTGTATGCAAAAAAATATATATTATCCGTAAATAAATAATAATAATAATCCTTGCATTCGATATAGTGCCTTATCACATTGTTAGGACGCCTCAAAGCTCTTCACAGGATTTACAAGAAAAGTTGATCACTGTATATTTTGGGAGCGAAACGCAGCAGCCAGTTGTGCACAGCAATGTTCCACAAGCAGCCATGGAGTGAGTGATCAATTTTATTTTGGTTGATTTCTTGGCCAAGACACCCGGAGAAACTCCCTTTTCTTTCTCATGAGAGCTTTAACAGCTACCTGAACAGGCAGACAGGACCTCAGTTTATCGTCTCATCCAAAGGACAGCACCTCTGACAATATAAACCCCCCCACCCAGTGCCACATTGGATTGTCATCTTGGACAATGTGATTCCAATTCCCGATATGACTCATTCCAACCTTCTGACTCAGAGGCGAGAATGCTATCACTGCGCCAGGCTATGGAAACATTAAGTACAATTCTTACAAACCAGAACTGACGCTGATTACATGAAGTTGCTGTTTTGATGAGGAACTATAAAGCCACAACCAGCAGAGCTACTCTTGAGTTGGTCTATTTAAGTGGGGGAACAGGGTAGAAAAAAAGGGGAAATTCGCAATAGATTTTTTTTTGGAGAGAAAGCAATGTCTATAGGCAAATATTTAAACTAAAATGGCATAGGGAAAAACTGCTCTGGAACAGGAACGATCAAGATTTTATATTGAACACAGACTTTCTACCTACTAAGCGATTTTTCTCTGGGCCACTCATGCATCGTATGGTTAATTGTACTGTGCTGTCAGAAATGCTTTTAAGGGAAGGTAGAAGGAGCTCAGTACTGCAGTTCATGTCATGCATTTGTCTATAAATACACAGTCACTACACTTTGCAGTGTATCCCGTGAAGCGCTTTGAGACATCCTCCCAGCGTGAATGTCACTATATCATATATTTACATAGGTTTACATAGATTTAGATAAGATGCTATAGCATTGGAATGGGAGAAAATGCACTGTGGTTTTTGCAGGTACTGAAATGCTCACACCTGCATTCTGCATTGCAAGTAACTGCTGTCATTGTCTGAGCAACAGCCTTTGGTCTAAACATACAATTTGAATATTTGAATAATTACAGCTGGCAACCTACCAGCACAAAACCTGTTGATGACAGCATTAAATTCCCAACAGTTGTCTCTTTCTAATCAGATTCTGCTTCATCTTTTGTTTGACTTCACTTAGCCTTTTTTCTTGGGGATAAAAAAGGTTTCAGTTTGTATCTGCATGTTCTGCAATTCTTGCTATATAAATGCAAGTTGTTGATGTTGCATTTAACATCTGTGGATACAACATCTTTTTGAATACATACTGTAAGAGCAACGGCTGTTTACTGTAGCATCTAGGGTAATCCCAATACAGTGCCCTTAGGTTCTCTTGAGATAAGTTTGTCATATAGGAGGAGGAGGCTCGAAAACTGATGGGAAAACAAACGCCACCAATTTCTGCACAGAACAAAACATCTGAGGTATGGTATTCCCCCAGTACCAGTAAATAAAACACATTGTTATCTTGATAATCTATCACAGAATGTCGCCTCTCTCACTCAGAGATTTAGTTTGTGTGCTCAGAATCTACTTTTAAAAAGGAAAGAGTAGATAAAATTTGTCCAGTTTACAATTAACTTTGAAATAGCTCTACACATTGTCCCAGCAAGATATGGCTGGAGTCCTCCTCTCTCTCTCTCTTCCACCCAAACAAAAGCAAAGATAAGGCAAACTAACCTTCATCATTGTCATGTCAATGAAAAATTGGATGTGCTCAGTTACTCCTACTATTAATGCTAGCTGGAGGAGGAGATTTTGATAGTCCTAGCATCTAATTGCTGGGTTCAACAGGAATAATAATCTACACCCACTTAAGTTCTTTGATGTGGTTTGTGCTTCACATCTCTCTCAACCCCAGCTGTTATATGTCTTCTTAACCAGCTGTTCACTGTGGCTATTTCTGTCATTGCAGCTTTAATCAAGCTGAAACATCAAAATAAAAAAAAGTCCAGAATTAAGACTTATTTCCTCTTCCATCTGCTCAAGGGAACAAATTGTTCCCATAACATGTCCAATTAGATTATATTAAAGCCAGGGGTTTATTAACTTCTTTTGTTTCTCAGAGCTACACTGTTTAAAAATTATCGTTAGTGTGACAGCTAAATCATCAATGAAACTATTTTCCTGCCAAACATGTAAAAAAAATGAAACTTGGGGGAGGGGTTAAGGGGGGGAGAGGATTTGCAGCAAGTTAGTGATAATTAACATACTTCAAATTTCTCAACTTGCTGATATGAAGTAGTTTGTACAATTTTAATTTCCCACACTATTATAAGATGCCATAAACTGTAGTAACCTAATCAATTCCAATGTAAATCCTCGTAATTGGCACAATTTATACGTGTAAACTACAAACATTATGAATAGGCACCAGAGATTGTCAGAACCTGTGGAAACGTGCTCCAGGGTACTGGTAAGAAAATATTGTATATTGATAAACTCCACTTAACTCCATTCATGTAAATAAATACAACTGTGTTTTGCCGTTCTGCGGCTTGACACACCCAAGAAAATTGCATTTCATCATCAAAATAGAAACCTGCAAATTTTCCGCACACACAGTAGGTGCATTCAGTCTTTGTACCATTCATTGCTACCTGTGCTTATATTCCAAATTGGCCTTTATTCTATATAAAAAAAGATTCCAGCTCGCTCCTCACATCTTTTAATATTTTTACTGCTCAAGTGCTTATCCATTTCCCTTTTGAACTGTTCTAATTGATCCAACTTCAATAGTCACTTGATAGTCTCCTGCCAGCATGGAGTCTGGTCTAACTGGTACATTCAGCAGTAATCACGTAATCATAAGCTGCTCCCAGGATCTTGTATTGCACTGAACTGTGCAACATACAAAGAAATAAAACAAAAGCCACAGCTCTGACTTTTCCATGTGTGTCAGTTTTTTCCTGAACCTGGTAGTATATACTCCAGCACAAATATTGTCAACCATGTAAACTAGATGCAAATTCTGTATTGTGGTAAGAAGGAAGATGTGGACTTCAGCAAAACCTCCCAATTCATTTTTGAACTCAACCAGTCTGAGTGTTGAATTTGACCTGCAGATACGCTTTGCTTCATGTGCAACTATTCTGAGCAAGTCTGAGCTTGTGTGAAGCATTATGGTTGGAATCTGAATCAACATGGATTGGCAAACTTGTTCAGATAGTGGCGTGCATCACTGGGTTTTGCATCCATGAGCCTTGGGTGATTAGACTGTGATATAAATGAATAATTGCTGCTGCTTCTGTGATATCAGCAACTTCTCAAGTGGGGCTTCATTCTGCTTGTAGAGGCAGCAGCCCCTGGCACGATATCCTCCTGCGTTGGTTCCAGCAGCCTGTTCTGACAAGAAGCAGTGTGGTTTTGCCGATATTCTCCTGCAGTTCAATGGAACTGCTACCGTAAGAAGAAGTGGAAAGTAACTACTTGGAACCACTGCATGACCGCTTATACAGGTTTGGTCATGCAGTGGTTAGCTCTGTTGTCTTATATCCTGCCACAAGTATCAATGGGCTAGGATCCAATCACCAGCCGCATTAGGTTACATGGGAACTGATTCTATCTGTGTCAGTCCTTAAGGAGCCCTGTGAGTTGAATCCAGCATTACACACATGATTAGAAGCTGCAGACTGTCCACAATTCTGTAGCTGTGTCTTTTCCTGCACCAGGTTCTATGAGCCCATCATCTCCATTCCTCTTCAGCTACACTGGGCTCCCAACCCCAGTCTAGCAAGTTGAATTCAAAAATTCTTTTTACTTTCAAATGCTTGCATGGCCTCCTTCACGTCCTTGCCTATTGTGCCACTCCATCGGTGGGGGAGCATTCGGTCATTCTGCTCCCCATTCACTGGAATATCCCTCTACCTTTCCCCTCTCCTTCCCCGTCTTCAAGATCCAGCTTAACAACCTATCTCTTCCTTTGGCCACCTTCACTCGCCTTGCCCCCAGCTCTCTTCTTTTCCAACTTGAGGCCCCACAGTGAATAAATTCAAGTTGTTAATTATTGTTGTTCAGTGTTCACATGGGGGTAGAGGGAGAAATCCGTTTCTAACACTGGTGATCTCTCACTTTGGAAATCCCCAGAAAAGATACCCTAAGGAAAATTAAAAGTAAACAATACAAAGTACAAATATTTCCAAAACTGGGCAATGCAAACAGATGAGTATCTGAATCATCTTGGCGTTTTCTAAACCATTTACAACCTTGTGTGATCTGGGATGTGTGTGGTGTAGCGAGCAGAAGATACTCAAGCAGAGAGGACTATGCTTACTAGGTATGTTTTCTCCTGCAAAATATACAGTCAATTGACTTTACGCTATATTCTGTGAAGTGCTTTGAGACGTCTCAACGGTGTGATAAGGCGCGATCTCAAAATGCAAATTATTATTATTAATTAGTATTTGTTCACCAGGATTCAGTCTCAGACGTAAAGAGAGCACACAGTTTGGTCAGGCAATTTGGAATGGTTTTATTTTCACGAACACACACACACACACACACCAGGAATCTGAACATTTGGCTAAAAAAAACCTCAATAATAATTCCAACAAACCACAAGGCTGGACATTAGTGGGGGGGGGGGGGGGGGGTGAGGGGAGAGGGAAGGAGAACATTTTTGCCAAAGAGTTGGAGCCTCATGGGGGGGGGGGTCTCTCCCCAGTGAAAACATCCTTGTGTGGGGGGGAAAACATCTGGTGGGGGGGGGGGGTGGGGGGTGGGGGGAGAGGGAGGGCAGAGGGAGGAGCAGTCAATGGCAATAGACGAGAAGTCACAGGGCAGGAGCAGAGTGAGCAGCACTCCCTCCCGCTGTACCTGAGCCCAGGGGTGGGGTTTGGAGTGGGGGGGGTTCAGGGGAGGGGAGGAGAGTGGGGGGGTTTCAGGAAGGAACGCTCACGGTCCTAAATTGGATACAAGTAACAAGGAGCCGACCAATCAGAGCGGCCGCTTCACCTGGACTCGTCACCTGGTTTTTTTTTCCCAATGAGACAGAAACTGCCTGTGGGGCATTGAGAGGGAAGTTCATATAGAGACCAGAGAGAGAGAGAGAGACACACACACATCTGGGCAGAGGCAACGACTGGGAAAGTTTAAGAAGAAGAAGAAGAAGACATCCGCAAGGAAGGACCGATTACCAAATCTGCCCCACAAACTCTCCCTCTTCTCTCTCTCTCTCTCTCTCTCTCCCCCACACCACCACCACCACCACATCCCAATGAGCAGCTTTACTTTATTGCACTTGGGTGTCCTTGTCCTCTTGGCTCAGGTGAGACTCTCTCTTATCTTCTTTGATGAAACCATCGTTTGAAACCAGTGATTTTTTCCCCCTCTCTCTCCCTCTCCTCTCCCCCTCTCTCCCCCTCTCCTCTCTCCCTCTCCTCTCTCTCTCTCCTCTCCTCTCTACCTCTCTCTCCCTCTCCTCTCTCCCCCTCTGCCTCTCTCCCTCTCTCCCCCTCTCCTCTCTCCCCCTCTCCTCTCTCCTCTCTCCCCCTCTCCCCCTCTCCTCTCTCCCCCTCTCCTCTCTCCTCTCCTCCCTCTCCTCTCTCCCCCTCTCTCCCTCTCTCTCCCTCTCTCCCCCTCTCCTCTCTCCCCCTCTCCTCTCTCCCTCTCCCCCTCTCCTTCTCTCCCAATCGCTGTTTGGACACTAAAAGTCCCGTTTGTGCCTAATTTTAACGTTTTAATTTGAACCTTTAGGCACCGGGAGTGCGGGGCAGTCATTTGTACAGTGGGGTAGTGGGGGGGAATTTTGTTGTATTTATGCAAACAAACGAAAGGTGATATGTCAAACGGACGCGTTGATTCACCGGAATTGCAATTGCCATCGATCTGCAGGTTTTGAGCGGTGAGTGTGAGAAGCGATGTCGCAGCGGCTTCAGCCAAAACCTCTACAGGTTCAAGGCATCGAGTGGGCAACTGACCCCGGGACAGGTGGTGGGAAAAGGTAAGGAAAACAGCCAAGAAAGCGCACCTGAGCCCTAATCCCAGGGGAAGGGGGGATCTGGAGAATTAACACTGGTCGCAATTGTTAGAGAGAGTGAGTGAGTGAGAGAGAGAGAGAGAGAGAGAGAAAGTGATCGCAGTAATGAGATGGGACTCTGATGGACGTTTCGTGAACTTAAATCCAACGCTGAAAGGGAGAGTTCAACAGAAGAACTGGGACTGCAAATCAGTCTCAGGGCGTTGGGTCTGTGTCAGTCACCAGTGATCCTCAATGGTTTTCAGGCTATTTGGATAAAAAGTTTTCCCGAAACCATTTAGGTTTTGCATTAAGTGTTCCCCCACTTCGGAAAATCGAAACTTGTCGGTTTAATGGTTTTGTAAAAAAAATATATATATATTAGCGGAAGGGAAATATCTCCTGTGATCCATTTGTGCTTCAGATGGGAACTGTTCCGAAGGCGGATCTGTTTTGTTACCTTTCTTGTGATTTGAGTGATTGAGATTGTATTTTTCTGTGGATTTGCTATCGTTGTAGGTGAGGAGAGATTTGGTGCGGACTAAAGCGTACAACCAACCAGTATCGTCTCGAAGTGTACATTTAATAATTCGTGATATCTCTTTTTTTGAAACTTTCCAATTGACAAAAGCGGTAACTTTTTATAATGCATCGTATATTCAAAAAAAAATTCTAACCGGCTCGTGAAGTTCTTAAACCAGCAACGAGGAAAATAGTCCGTTCACTTTACAGTATATTCAATGAAGCGCTTTGAGACGTCTCAAAGACGCGATAAGCTGCTGTATCAAATCTTATTATTATTACTATCTTTGCCGATCTCCTTTCATTAAAACTGTGAATTCCTGTGTCCCAGAAAGGGAGAAGTTTTCCAGAGCAAATGGCTTCACCTCCACCATTAGTTTGCTGTTCTTGCCTTTGGGAGCGCACTCTGTGAGGAGAACACACCTTGCTCTCTATTCAGCTTTGTTTCCCCCCACTAACGTGCTCAGCCCACATCGAATTTTTTTGGGGGAAAAAAAAATCAAATAAGTGATTTTTTTTTTTTGATTAGGCTGGTTAGGCTCGGTTGTTTTTGGCTGGTTTATTTTTTTTAAATTTAATTTACAAAATGGTTGCCATCTAAGTTGTGCAACGTGCCCCACCCTTCCTTAACAATTTGTGCAAAGTTTAGTTTTAAATGATTTCAGACTGACAAAACCCGTCTGTTGGTTTGAATGAATTGGCCGGGGGAGAGCCTTTAAATGGTTGGACCTGTGAGTTTCAGTACAATACAAAGACCTGGTTAGTTTTCTGTACTGCTTTAAACGAAAGTTGTTCAGTTTGCAAACTTCATGTTGCTCAGTACCAACATGTGTATATGACAGGCTTAATGGAATTAAATTATTGCAGTTGATTTAATTTGTCACTGACTAATTTGTTTTTTGTTGCACTATGCACATTTAATTTTGCAAATATTCTAGTGCCCTTAATCATTTCTTGTCCTACACTGAGCAGGATTTGTGCTTATACAGTGTAATAAAGGAGTAGAGATACTCTAGCAGTTTGGGGGAATAAACCGATTTCTTGTCAACAGCTAATGTGAGAGTTTGTGACTAACCATCATTCTCTGTCACAAGCCCATGAGTTGAGAAATTGTTTCTTCACCTAAACTGTCTATAGTGTAAGTGAGTCTTCCAGATGTATGTGTGTGTATATATCTAGTCTCCCTTTTTCTCCCAGTTTTACTACAGTACAATATTTTTGGTTTAACTTGTGATCACATTATTTTATATCTCGCCAATCCTATTATGGATCTGAATGTGACATTAAATTTCTAAAGGATTGCAACAATAAGATTGTTCCATTCTGTTTTTCAAACCGCATTAATTATATTGTATTTGTAAAGGCAAATAATTCCATTATTCAGAATAGGGCAAAAGTTAGTATCACAGCTAAAGGTGTTTGGATGCTTCTATTTTGCTCATCATGTGTGGATTGAGTATCGATGGATGATTCGTGAAATTATTCATCTGTTTGGGTAGTGTGACTCACTGTATGACACATGTTTATCCATTCCCAGCAGAAATTTTAAGTGGCTCTGATTGTAACACGTTTTCCTCGAATCTGTTTATAATTCACCTTAGATATGACTTATTTATTTTCTCCAATTTTTTTCTCTGATATTACAAATATCAGAGTTCTCACATGATGTCCGCACCAGCAGGGGTACCTTATCGTAATGAGGAACAAGATGCCATTTGGTTTGCCTTTTTTCCCCCCTACCCCCATCTTCTCTCCCACCCCCCAAACTGAAATCAGTTGCCGCAATTAGTTGGTAACATTAGCGAATCAGAGATTGATAGAAACCTTGACCTGAACTATACAATTTAGTGCTGCATGATATCAAGGTATTGAAAAATTGCCAAACAGTCAAGATTTCCAAATACTCTTGAAGCTTTGTGGTGAATTGGGATAGTATTAGGTTATTCTGGCTGTTTTCCCACTTAGTTGCATATTTGCTGTGACAGTATTAAATTGTGACTATTGTAATATAAAATGCTGCTGACTCTGTCTCCCAATAAAGATTCGCTGAATATTTGGGTGGAGGGTTCTGCCTCTCTTTAAACTGAACCCAAGTTTCCACAAAAATTAAAATGTTTTCATCACCAGATTTTCTCTTGAGGAGATCTACTGTTGGAATTGCATGTGCGTGAAAATGCTCAATTTAGTCCAAATGAGAGAATCTTCCCTTTGTTGAAAAACAGGCAGGCAGTAATTGATCCAGATTTCTAATTGAATTACAGGGTGCCTGAAAATACTGGTTCCACCTGTAATTGCTGCTTTAGGTGTAGACACACAAACCTGCACGTTAGGACTAAGAGCAATCTAGTGCACTTTATAGAGGTAGAACAATCATGGACCTAATGGTGTGTTCTGTCCCAGTCGGGTCTTTAGCCACAATCCTCATTAGATGTTAGATTAACATCTACTGTGAAAACAGTGCCAGTTAAGTTTTAAAAAAACAATTCAGCAGGTTCCCTCATTATATGCAGGAATGTAATGCTGTCAAAGTGTGATACACTTCACAGGTTAGCTATGTTTATTAGGTTCTCTAATCTTGAGTCTCTGGAGGCTGAAAAGACAGGTGCCACATTTATTCTTCAATTGTGCTGGACCCACACTGGAATTTTACATGCAAAGTCTAATAGATATAATGTCACCACATGCTTATCTCTTAATCTCCACACACGCAATGTCTGTTTGGTTGGTGATGACTTTTTTAATGTCCTCCCCTTCTTTTCCTGGCCACTATCTGCCCTTCTTGCAAAGCCTTTGCCAGATACAGTGTCAATATTGCAGCTCGCTGTGCAGTTGTAACTTGCATTTATGAAATTAGCCAAACAGTTCAACTTAAGAATCCTGTATTGTGAAGTTCAGATCCAGTGAAGCTTCGAAAACTCTTAACGTATGTTGCTTGAGGTATAGAAACTAGAATTCGCTGGCAGAAACCAAATTATTTATGGTTCCTATTGTGCTCTTTGATAGACCCAGAAGAGAAACTGGTTTTGTCTTCTGTGCGTGAAAAGCTCTTGCTTTCATTTGAAAAGATTATCATACGTATGAGCAGCTTCTGATACATTAAGAAATCTTAAAGCACTTTTTTATTTTTATTAAAAAAGGGCGACGTCAAATCCAAATCTTAACCATTTCAGTTTTGAAAGCTGCTTTTCTGCTTCACTGTCCCTTTTTCCATTAGTATATGTCATAATGGTGACTGAATCCCAGTGAATAAGTGTTGTGGAAGAGGTTTTGTAATCTCAAATCTTTTCATGTTTGCACATGATTTTAGATTTCTCTCCCCATCATACTATCAATAAGTTATTGATTGAATTGCCCTTTGTACTGTCTTCATTGTGGCAGTTTTCTTAATATGGACAGTTTCCTTTTATGACAAGTACATAGTTTGATGATTTGTTATTTAGATTAAGTTGCAAACAGCCAGTTCATTTTATTATTCAAATGAACAAAACTCGCCTCTTGACGAGACTTTCAGCTCTGTACACAGCAGCCCATTGATGTGAGAAGAAGCAAAAGTATTAGCTGATAGAAACTGTTTCCATTTTGTTTTATCAGTGACTTAGTCAACCACAGATGTAAACTTTGTTAAGTATTAACCAAAGGCCCTTTGCACTTGAATTGATTTGTCTCTAAGGTATCCTCATCTGTTTGCTGGTGGACTTTTTATATTGAACTTGTACTTCTTTCAGGCACCCTAAAAATCTGTAAAATCCGCAGATCTTCTTATATACTCGAAAGAAATACACCAGTGTAGAAGACATTTTAACCTCTAAATCTAATGTATTTAAAGCATCAAGTCTGCATGGCGAATACGTTTTAAACTGAATTATTCTGCATGAAATTCTCCCTTTGTAGGCTTTCAAAATGTAATCACTACTTGGGTATGATTCTTATATATCTTTTATGGGAGCAATTGCTTATTTTAAATGTACATTAGAATTAATGCATTATGTCAGTCGTTTTCGGGAAGACTGAGAGGAGACAGGTCCTGGTTTTGTGTCGGAGTTCGCTGAACTCTGATTGCACAAAGATGAACTAAAACGTTTTAGAATTGATTAGGAATACAGCTTTGCCAGTGGTCAAGCTTGGCTCCACTATTATTGAGGTCCTGTCTGCCTCTTCAGGTAGACATTAATCCTGTACTCTGTTTATTTGAAAAGAGAAAGAAGTTTCTCTGTGTCCCAGCCAGCAGTCCTCCAGATAAATTAATTTCATGGCTGCTGTGTTTTCCTGTTGTGTTTTAACTGGCAGCACCTTAATGTTATAGGTGATGTATCAAATGCCAGAATTATTTTGTCACTGAGTCCTAATCCATTCTGAATACTTGATGAGAAATGTCCGTGGATGCTATGATACTTGATTCCAAATTGTTGACGTGAATTTAGAAAATGGCAACTGATAAATAGTCAGCTGAATTTTGCAATTGT